GTTGTCACCAACGATCTTGAGAACCGGCATCATGACCTAAGACTTTGGTATCTAAACAATGGAAAACCACTGGATACATAGGAATTTGATAGCGAACACCTATAAAGGAAAACCACACATAGTGACGTTTCTATGACATGTTCTCTTTCATTAGCTCTAATCTTCCAGGACGAGGACCCCAAAAAAAACAACGATGATGACCGGGTCGGAATGGCCTATGTCATGAGTGCTTGCCACTGAAATTGTACGTTTTACACTTCTACATGACTTAGACCTTTGCTTGGGAAAGTTTGTCATTGCAACGCACTCGGCCTAAGTCATTTGATCTGACCTCAGTATATTTGGGGACCACTATAGCTTGTTTGTTCACCACATCTGCAGGGCGAGCCGGTGACGCCCCGCGCGGTGCAGCAGACGGCGAAGGCCGCCTTCGAAGCGGCCACTTCCATGCAGCGGATAGTAGTGCAGAGGGCGGCCATGGGGGGGAGAAGGTAGTTCCACCATTCACAATTTAGGGATCCACTGGCACCTTCAGAGGTTCGGTACGACTGGGCCTTTCGCCGACATCAACAGTTTCGCACGGCCGCAGCACGTCGGGTCCACTGGGCCGGTTTGGACGACATGTTATCTGAAGGTCTTCCTTCGTTTTCGGTTTGGAAGTCGGTGGGGGGTGAAGATATATGACATGGACATAGGCAGTGGTTTTGATGCACATGTTGTTTTCTTCTTCCTGAGTCATCTCAATTCAGTATGATATATTTTACAATATAATATGGTATTTAACAAATCATGTCTGTAGTTTTTTCTATTGTGAATCAAGCACCAAATTTCTCCAAGCCTATGGGCTCCCTGCTCGTCTGAGGAATACACGGCCTGGCGTGTGCAGCTGCGCCTCGGCGTGCCGAGAAAGGAAGCGGTCCAAAGGTCAAAGAACAGCAGACCATCCAAAAGAATGGCGGGATCACATGGCTTGGGTCAAACCTGGAGCCCTAATCCCTGCGGGAACAGTCAGATGCTTTTCGGATCATTGTACAATATCTCCAGAGTTTTTCTGGTGAACCTCTGGTGCCGACATTTTCAAAGACGGGGTCCTCTAGCCTCACGAAAACAGGTTCGGGACGTACCAAAAAAAAGGTGGCTTTGCTCATCGCCCGATTCCAAACCCTGTAGCCGTTCAACAGACACTTCATCGATTCTGATCTTCAGAGCGAAAACCACCATGTCTCGTTCCGATGGTCTCGTTCCGATGGAACTCTGGTGTTTTTTTCTCTTCCCAGCCAGGACGGCCATATCACTCACATATCGTCGCAGCAAAAAGAGACGAAAGAATGTCGGTGCCGATGCCCCCAGCCCCGAATTATATAGATCTGTCAAGAACATGACGCTTTTCTTGGTTTCGTGAACGTATACCTTAAGATGTGTTGCGCGGAGATAGATTCGGTTTCACGAGATATCCCCGGCACCGGACGGATGTGACGTCGGCATCCGGGTGCCATGACCCGGTCGGCCACCATCTCTTCAATTGGTGACTCCCAAAATGGGTTTCAAGTCGGTCACTGTTGTTAGTTAGTCACAAAGGGGTGCTATCTATGGAGGTTAGGGGTGCCCAGAACATCCACTCACTTGGGGACCAAACACCACCCCGAGCTCTGTGACTCCTGGTTGTTAGTTAGTCTTAGTCTATTAATTCAATTTGGTTTCGACTCCACAGCTGTCGATCAGTTTCTCTTGGATGATATACAATTCCCCTGCCCTGCTTTAGATGATATGCCCTCAAGTCCAGTTCGACCATATTGGCACCAGCGAAGTAAAGCAAAGTCCTTTTCGGATCACCTCAAATCTTCGTGGACTCCCACATTGTACGAACCTGGCGGGAGCTGTGCATTCTGACATCACTGCAAGGTCTGGCTAAAAGATGAGGAAAAACACTCCCCGGTGGGACAGATTGGCCGAAAGCAATCAGATCACTGGTCGATCGTGAACCATCTGCGCCCTCCTGAGGCATACCAATCCTCCTGCATGAGCGAATTTGATGAATTTGGAGTGGCAATGCATGTGGATGTCCTGATGATGAGTTGGATGTCCTCATCGTGAGAGGCTCAGATTGACCAAAAGAGGCCATCACCCTACCTAGCCGTAGCCTTCAAAGACCATCAATAGAAAGCTCGACCTGGTTTTACATGGTTTTACAGTCCAAAATCCCACGCACAACAATGGTTCTTGGGCCTCCCACAGATATCCAGGGATCAGATTTTTCAGATTATTGGGAGGCACGTGCCGAAACGGACATCCGGCCATCGGCCAAGAACGGACCTTTTCTCTTGACGGTCCTTCCGAAATGCTGGGCTGGCGGGATCATCCCGGGTGATTCCGGTGATGTGATCGAGCCATTCGAGCCACCCACGTACGTCGTCCTTTCACACGGTCGATCGGGAGATCCTCGCATGTTTCTCCGGTGAAACAAGCATTTAACTGGTTTTACATTGAGAAAGAACCATGCCATGCATGAGATTCTGAAGGCAGAAACTTCACTTTGCTGCCCTTTGTTGGGGAATGCAGCTTGGATCTCTTTGATGGGGAATACAGCGGCCTGGCCACCTGGGTGACCAGCGCGAGAGATGGGGAACCCGCGTGTTGGGTCGCACCGGGGGTCTCCGTCACCGGTTGACCGGTCGCTTCTGCGAACCCAAAGGCCGCGGGAGCACGGCGGGTTCGCACGGGTGGAGCGGCGGGTGGAGCGGCGGAGAAGCGAAGAAATGGTGCTTGGGTCATGTGCCAGAGATTCCGAGAGTATTGGGTACCAGGCGTCGAATTTCTGGGTGAGGAGCTGGTAGGATTGGCGAGGTTTGTGAGCAGATGCTGCATGGGTACGTGCAGCACCACACCCAGGTTTCTTTCGGTCTTTTGGGTCCTTTTGGATCCTTTTGCTTGGGGGAATCCTTTGCGCATCTCGCGCACCACACCCTTTCCGAAGCGAAGCTCGAAGCGAAGCGAAGCTCGAAGCCGAAGTTCGCGGAGCTCGGGAGACTGCCCGGGGCCGGTCGACCCGGTGGATCTCCGAAGAGACCGGAGACCAACCCGAGACCCGGAACCACCGATGCCGCCGAGACCCGGGCGGTTTTGGGGGTTGTTTTGAGACGACGTTGGTGCGGGATGAGATGCTTATGTGGAAGAAGATACGTGTATAACACGTGGGAGGGGACGTGTTTTTCGAGCGCAAGACATGCATGGGTGACTTGGCTCAAGAGTGGATGATGTGTTGTAGAGTTATATTACACTTATATAGTTGCCCCAGGCATCCCCAGGCAAACATGATGATAGGAGGCATTTTTCGATCCATTCCCCAGAGGATTTTGAAGGTCTGAACATGCGAGTACAAAGTTTGACGATGCGAATACATTCTCTCCTTGGTCCAAGAGAAGTGTCCACAATCTATTGTTTGAAATGCAATGGTCTGACTATACAGGTGACCCAAGTTCAGGAATGTTCTTTACTTTGGTGGTGCCAAAGGTCTAGAACCTAGCCCAAACATGTCCAAACTGGATTTGTGAAGAAACAGAAAACAATAGTTGTTGTTGGGGGAAGAGTTCTTGTACTTCGAGGACACCCCGTTCAATCCAGAGGACATCACTATGAACCCATGAAGCGCATGAAGGAACTGGGGCAGATTTCGCAGCGGGGGAAGACCAACCTGGAATCATAAACGCCATGAACTTCGCAGCAAATTGTGTACACTGCGTACCTCTTTACATCCTCTTTGCATCCCTTTTACATTCTTTTACCCGTCACGGGTCTCGCACCCGATGACGACCTTGGGGAAGCATCACAATGCGGTGGGCCAGTCGGGGCACTTGGTGAACAGCAATCGATGAAGTGGAGTCAATCGTTTGGCACCTAATCAACGGCTGTGTGGCTGCAGGTATATTGATATAGCCCGTCAATGATTCTTTATAAAATGCAAGTCATTTGACGCTGAAATGCGTTTTGGGTCCTCATTTTATGGAGAAGGCATTGTTTTTTAGTTTTGGACATCTTATAGAGTCGTTTTTTGTTTGTTCTGGTGGCCTTTGGCAATGCTTCGTTGAATCCTTGACGCATTTGGCATCGGAGTAGCGTGCGTTTTTAGATGTACTTTGTTTCTATGGTACTAGAGATTTGGTCTGGCATTTTATACCATCAATGCGGTGAGAGCAGTTTATAGAGAACTTAGGTGCTGACATGTTTGGCATGTCACTTCTATGTTGTCATGCATGGTCATTCGTGACTGAATGTTATTTATCTGGCTTTTCATTTTATACAGATCTTGGGATCTGGTTCTATCACTTTATTAATAGAGGCTACTCTTGTCCGTCCCTAACCAGAGCTTCATTGGGCTTGGCATTTGATAGAAACACCCTTGCCAGTTATTTTATTATGAAGCTTATATCTCTTGCCATCCATTTTATGGACATCATTTCTCTATATATAGTCGGAGTCCCAACCATCATTCGCGCCTGTATCGGGGTGCAATTTTTGCTCTATATATAAGGCGTCTGGATGAATACCTGATTTGACTAGGATTGAGCACTCGTGCGTAGATTTGTTCATCGCCCTTTCACTAGTGGACGTCGAGTGCACCCCAGGCCTCTTTGAACCGTTTCTATGAATGGCTGGAAGAATGAACATCTTAGCTTCCTTCAAACCGTAGGAGGCATTCAGGAAATGAGCAACTTGTGCTATTCCCCATAAGGCCCGTTAGTTGGTTCCTTGTCTTTTGGCTTCCCAGCACCCACTGCCGGTCACCAGCCGTCCCTGGTATTCTCAAACAAATTCAGCATCACCCATATCATTCTTCGGATAATTACGTGCCCTTCACACTTGTCTTGTGAAACCCGTATTTTCCTATATTTTGTTTGTGCTCTTTCAACAGGCCATGCCAGATGTCATCCACTTTCATATTCGTTGCGCCCAAAAACCGCCTAAACCTGCGCGGCGGATTTTCCATCGAATCCAGCCTCGCGATGCCTCGCTCGAGGTATGCCTCACTGGGGAGCGAAGTCTTCTTCCAAGAGTTCGGCTCCGACTGGACGTCTTACAGGTCCCACAGATCCAGGGAGCGCGTGCCGTCGTGGGCCGTGCACGACGGACGGAACGCGCGATCGGTGTCCTGGGGTCGCATGAACGAGAGTCTGGTCAGGCCAATCTTTCATGAGATTCGGGCTTCGGGCTCTACCAAATTTGCATTGTTTGATCTTGTTCTATTCATTCGTGCTGGCATTTTGGGGAGTTGCAGATCCCACACTCAGTTTGATGATCATCATCTTTCATCCGTGCTCTGAGGACCTCAATTTTGATGTTTTCATCTGACACTGTTTCGAGCTCCGAACCGATTTTTTTGGGGTGCAGACTCCCAGGTGCCCCTCCCCCTCCCACCGGGGAACGCCAGGTCGGCGCGGAACCGGCGGCGCATCGACTTCAGTGGCCCCAAGTGGCGCCGTGGTGGAAGGAAGTGGCAGGTGACCACCGCTGTGGTTGGGTTTGTGTGGGTTGGATTGAGGGGCCTTCTGCTGTTATGCTGACTGTGAAGCTGTGGTTGGGTTTGTGTGGGTTCTTATTAGCGGGTTTATTTTGCCCCTGGATGTTGTTGGATATTGGGAATGAGCTGTTTGGCACATCCACCGTCCTGTATCATCACCGACCATCATGTCTTCTTAAATGTGCACTGCAGCACTCTCTTCTCTTCAAACAGGTACGAGTTGGAGATGATTTTGGCACTATCAAAGTGTACACGTGCTTGCTTCAGCTTGACAGGTCTTCATTTGAACATGTTTGGAGGTGATGTTGGCACCTCCTCCTCCTCCTCCTCCTCCTCCTCCTCTTCGTCCCCCTCTTCGGTCACGAAAAAACTATCTACATGGCTGTCGCACCAAAACCATCAATGATTCCTGTTCATCACTTCTGGGCACATCGGAACATTTACCGTCGAGTCTTTGATACATGTCCAAGCAGATCACCGGCATCACCGTCTAGCCCCGAAGTTACATGGGGGGGTTACATAGGGTTAGACACGGAAGGATCAATGAACGTCCTCCAGAAATCCGGAGTCGGCGAATCAGCTCGGCGACGAATGGGCGCTTGGACCGCATCCAGGGTGACAAAAAGGGAAGGCAAACAATAAAGTACACATCAACACCTGCAGCGCTTTGATTGTTGACAATCACTCATCCAGACATACGAAACACAGGAAACACAGGGCCCTGAAAGTCGATGGTCGACAGTCGACATCGAATCTTGGGTGTGGAGAATCAGATCTCAGATCTTGTACCCTCTGCACGACCAGTTTCATCGAGAAAAAAACCGTTCAACCACCTCAACTCGTGGCCTAGTCACCAAGCCCCCCTCCAACAAACGTCGAAGTGGACAAAATCCACTGGCTTGTAGAGGAAAAGGGTCTTTCCAGGGGGTCATTCGCCACTTCGATACTTGTTTTCAGGGTATCTCGTAGCAACTTCACCACCTTCTCCATCTCCATCATCTGAGGAGCTTAGAGACGCTGGGGGGCCCTGAAGGCGGTCTCATGCATAAGCAGTTGATCCGCGAGCACATCGACGCTTGGAGCCGATGCGTGTCTCGCGAACCGGGTCCGATTGGAGCGGAGCTCCAGGGGTGGGGCGGTCCATGGAGCAACTGCGACATGGAGCAGTTGGTTCGGGTCCAAGTCGCCTTTTGGGCAGGATGGATTCGATGGATGGATTCGATGGATGGATTCGATGGATGGATGGATGGATGGATTCACCGTTTCGCTGCTTGATGTGGCAGTATACTGACCTTGGTGGGGCCACAGAAGAATCCTCAAGCCAAACGTTTGGGTGAATATCCCGAGTGCTGTTTTTGGATTCGTTGGGACAGGAAAAAGACCTAAACTTGGCAAAGAACACAAGGCTTGTGTTTGATGTCCCCGTCTCAGACCACCCCAGCTTCATTAGCGATCCTTTTATTATCATATAATAATTGTCAAAACAGCGATGCTTTGCTCATGCAACAAAAATACCACCATCAGAATTCCCAATCAGATCGTCTATGCCATTGAATCCTATGGGTGCAGCAAAATTGGGCGAGCGCCGAGGAGATCCTCAACTTGGCAAAGAACAAGTTGACAGACATCAGCTGCGTGAACGCCATGAAGGCAGCTGGGACAAGATAGGGTGTAGCTCAATTAGGGAGACCCAGACGTCCTGACTCCCTGGAAGAAGGGAAATAGACCAAAACCCATTGGTTGGGGGGTCTCCCTATTAAAGTGCACACCCATGGATGGCAAAACCATGTATATAAGACCTCTTCATATGATCATATGAGCAACTTGTCAAAACACGGTCTGTAGAGCAGAAGATGTGAGCGGCCTTCAACCTCGAGAATTTGCAAACACCCAGCCCCCCCCAAAAGCGATGCCCCACCAGAGCTTCTAGGATGAACATGTTCCAAGTGTATTTGCTCGACAGCTTCTTGATTTGAAAGGGAATTCCACATGTTCTTGTGGCATGGATGCTTTAAAGAGGTAAGAGATCAAGCCTTTGCAGCAGTCATCTCCTGTGGGTCAAAACTCGGGGATTTGAAGCGATACCCTTAGCCATGCCTAAGTGATACCCTAAGTGATGCCCTTGATCAAGCCAGTCCATCACTTACCCACTTAAGCATAGTCAGCCAACAGAGATGTTGCGGTAACAGCTTGGTGAGTGCTTTTAGCTGCTTGCAAAGCTCTTCTTCAGCTGAGCTTGGCTGTTGCCTTCGACTCCAGTGAAGTTTGTTTGTTTGTCTTCTTTGAGAGCTTGTGCTCATACATACACGTGTTTGGTTGAAACCTGCCCGTTCTTCCAAGAAAGCAATGCCATGCCGTTCTTCCAAGCCGTTCGGTCAAATGGTGCAGAACTGAGGAAAGCGATGGCCCCCCCGCTTTCACATGTGATGGCATGAGATTAAACTAAGGAGTTTTCACAGCCACACAGAACTGGGGGCGGTTCTTCATCAAGATTCTATTCTACATTAAAACCATCATCGACAGACATGACAATGATATGTGTGTGATGTTCTTTCTATCTTTTTTAAACACGGACGCAAACAGCACGTTTTTCCTGTAGTGTGGATCTCAAAGACACAGCGCCTCCCGGTCAAACCCGCAGCTGACTCCCCGGTGAACGTGCGGACGGCTGACCCGAACGTCCCGCTGTTTCAACGCGGTGGAGTTCATCGGCAGGACACAAGAACCTTTGAGTTCCGCAGACTACAGATCCTCAATACCTCCAGGCTGGACACAGATCGTCAAGACTTAGACCAAAAAAGCCACTCCGGAGGTCGGTTTGGACGGGCGGTTTGGACTCCATGGTTTGGATGATCTTGGAGATGCTTTTTCTGCCACATGCTGTGTTCCAAGCTGCGCGAAGAACTACGAACTACTCACGCGATGCGGGAAGAGACCAGATCGAAGAGCGCTGCTTCAGACAGATCCGTTTCGATCTGGGACCCGAAGGTTTTTCAGACCGAAGAGGTGAAGCATCTAGGGCTAGGGCCACTAGGGCCAGCACTAGAGGTTGAAACCAAAAATGGGATCCGAAACAAGACTCCGATTTTCGGTGTTTTCTTGGGCAGACAAAGAGCTTGTTGGAGCCTGGAATTCCCAAGCAGCTTTTGCAGAGAATCGGAAGGAACCGCTTGAAAAACATTCAAAGGTCTAAGGTTGCAGAATTCAAACACCCTGGTCCCAGGGCGGGTTCGTAGAAGCACGAGAGTATTAGCGCAGATCCATGAATCATGATCTCGAGGGCATGGTGTCTCAATTTACTAGAAGCCACAAGTCTCTATGCCGATGAGGCAAAACCCCAGAATTAGTTTTGTTCTTCAAGGTAATATCATTGGATGCTCCGTTTTTGTTTTCCAATCACTTCTACAAAAATTAAAATGCCCGCACATCTTTAGAACTTCATTTTAGAATATACCCCCTTCGGGGGGATGTGATGGTTCTTTTTCTTCAGCACCTGATGGGCTCAGATGGAGCTCCATGCAGCCGCGGCGTCCGACCGTGCGTCCATTCCGGTGGCATCGTCCGCAGGAACATGTTGACGAAGGTGAAGTTGGTGAATCCCAGCGCCTGGGACAGCGCTTCGTCCGGCGCGAAGCGCGCGGCGGACGCGGGTTGTCCGGTGCCACCCCACTGGGTGGACGGATTTTTTAGGCGTCGCGGTGTGAGAAGATGGACCATGAGAGGAGTTTCTTCATGAGGTAAGAGATGTCGGATGGATTTCAGGTGATTTTGGACCCGGCCAAAAGTGATTTTCTGAATTCAAAAAAAGTGTTTGGTGATGATACCTATGAGGAAGCTAACAGGACTGAGACTGCCACAGAGGTACCCTCTCATTCAAGCAGATTTCCAAAGGTTTCAAGATGAAAATCCGGGAAATTCAGGAAAGCAATCACCGGTTTGCAATCATTTTCAACATATTAAGTTGTTGTTCTTCTGGAGAATGACTTAACTTGTTGTATCAGTTCTTCCACTGGAGAATGACTTAACATATTTTAACACTTGTATCAGTTTTAGTCACTACCGCAATCTGGTTCCAATCCACACATCATCCGGAGTTCCTCCAATTCAATCTGGGGATCCCAAGATCATCCGCTATTGGAATTTCTGGTCTTCCTGGCCCACCATTCCCGTACACCTTTGTATGGAATGTATGCCTTCATTGACCACCAAAACACACCAAATGCAGGCCATATTTGTTTTCATGGAGCGTTTGGGATTGATTTAATATCCTGACTCCTGAACAACCAGCTGTTTGACGGATTTGTTGACTCCAAAACCAGGTCAACCGACCCCTTTGAATGGCCGAACTCAAGGCTAAGGGGACTTCATAGACGATTCCAGCGAGTTTTGTCGGATCATGGGCAATATAGGCACCCTGCTCCTCCCATATAGGCGCCCTTCAAACATGGAGCTCCTCGTTTGATCAGGCGTCCAACACCACGGCGGGTGGGAAATCCACCGTCCACCCATGGGGGGGCCAGTTGTTCTGCATTGGTTGCCTTTCCCTTCGATTTCTTTTGGTGTGAAAATCCATCCAAACTCTAAGAATCCCTAGGACTGCAATATTTATCTGCATGGCTAGGTGGTTTGGAGATGGTTGTGAGGCACAAATTGTCCATCGGCTAAACCACCACGTCCGTCCCCATCGGAGTTTCTTCGGAAAACGGTGGCTTCGGGGGGGCTTCGGGGGGAGCTGAAGACGCCGTCTTCAGACCGCCAGGCTTGACGGAGATCAACCTGAGCCACAATGAGTTGGTGAAGCTTCCGGTAACTTGGGATCGAATCCCTCTTCGGGGGGGGTTGGCTGAGGTTTGACAGACAGCTTATACAGACTAGGACAGACAGAGTGGGGTACGCGCAAGACTTGGACACACAGTGCGCACTGTGTGTGTTTTTCAGAGGTACCAGCATGTGGACTCTTAGATGAGTATTGATGCTCTCCAGATGAAGAGGTTTGGATTGGCAGGTTTTCTCCATTTGATGGAGGACTTGGTGTGAACATAGACGAACATTTTGCACACCAAGCACGAACAAAGAAAAGGAAACGCGAGTTTCTCTCGCTCTTCGTTCCTAGGGTGTCCTGGATTCGCACGGTCTTAGTGGTGAACCTGAGACGGGCTGAGACCTCAGCAAGTCTGCGGCTTCCGACCACTAAACGACCATCTGCGTGGTCCATAGTATAGTCAATTCTGGAACAATGGGAGAGTCACATCCCCTCGTGGAGGAGGATTCGCTGTGTTGTTTCCGAACATTTTTTTGACCATTTTGTTATCATATACTGGACCTTCAAGGGGTGTCCAATGGAGGTCCCTTAGTGGTGGGCTGGGGCTTCCAGCCAGGTGACCCCGACATGAAGGTGCTGGAAGTTATTTCATCCCTTGTGGTGTTGATGGGTCTTGGGCCCCAAGCATCTATCGTTGACCATTTGAGCAGTTCACCATGGCTCGCGTGGAACGCCCGCTGGCCTGCTGGCACATGATCCGAGCGTGGTGTTTCGTCCTGGGAACCTTCCTTTTCCAAGAAGAGCACCGCTTTTGGAGGGTTCATCCTACTTCAGAAGCGAAGCTGGCAAGAGAAATGGAGAGATTCCCAGAAGTTCAATCAACCCAAAAGCAACCAACAACAAGTATATAGTCGTTCTTCCAATCTGGGAGGAATCAGATCCTTTCCATCAATTTATATATAATATAAGTGGTTCTTTGGGCTAAGACGAGCACGGCCTCCCCTTTTCTGGACCAGCCAGAACACAAGAAGGCCAAGAGGGAGGCTAGTGCTTCCACGTGCTTCCACAGCGACATGATGCTACATGGGTTTCAGGTGTCTCTTGGACCAAATGTGATCATATCAACCACCCTACTAGGTGGTGCCACCCTACTCCCCAGACCCCCAGACCTCGATTTTCACGGCCGGAGCGGAGAGCTCCGCTCCTCTGGACAGAGGTAGACCGCCCGCCCGCCTTCGCGTCTTATCCCAGGGGACCGAAAGAGGGATCGGAGGTCTCCAAGACTCGGAGGAACCGGACTCAACCGGAGACGAGTCGAGACTCGTCTCCACAGGCAGACGAGTCTCCGTGACCCCCCACCGAATCCGAGGACTTCTCCAGCCTCTCACAGCTCAGCAAGTTGCTCCTCTCGCACAACGACATCGACGACACGCTCCTTGGGTACCGGGCAACGTCCGGCGCATGCGAGGGATTTTGGCGCATTTTGGGTTCGCCAGCCCCTGCAGGTGTATTATGTCATCCGAAGGGGTCCGGCAGTGAACCCTCTTCACTCAGTGCCACCATGTGCACTGCAGAGTTGGCAAAGTTCATCACCAGTTTGGTTCGTTTGGTGAATCAATGTTGATGAGACCAGCAGAATTCCTTGGCTAGGTCTGGAATTGGAAGAACTCTTGGTTGGTTTTGGCCCATAGCGATCTTTACAGATTTGGAGAGGTTCTCCCATTTTCAGACAACCACATCTACAGTCAAGAGAACCGCCAGAGGGCCAGAGATTTCCATAGAGTTCTCTACCAACTTAACCGGTGATTTTGTGAACAGGGCGTCTAATCTTGGAGGCGTATGCGCAAAGCATGGACATCCGGGAAGCTTTCAAGGGCAAACTCGGGTGGAGTGGATTGAAGGTCAGTTTTGAATCATTGATAAAACTTTAGTTGTGATTTCCTGGCATCAAGAACGGTCGGCACACTTGATCCGGTTCGCCGGATCGGTCGTACATGCTGATTCTTTCTTTTCATTTGTAGTGATTTGTACATATTTTGAACTGTTCTTATTGTTTCTTTTTCCTGTTTTAGATTCCCAAGAAAAGACCAGCTTGCAAGAGGCCGGCTGCCGTGGTCGAAGAGTTTCCAGTTAGGGCCTAGTTAGGGTAGGTGTTCATGATAGCTTGCCGTGGACGTTGGACTTTAAGTCGCGGAAGACACGTTGAAGTGGGTCTCCGTAGCAATGCGGGATTGGGCGATTCCTGGTAGTACTACAGGTGTTATTGCCGAATGTGCAAGGGACGCTCATGGAGAGGTGTCACGAAAATACATTCCCAACAGCAGACTTCTGTTGTTTGATAAGCGCAGAGATGTGGTTTTGGAGTTTGTTGTTGAATCCGCCCGCGCCGAAGGTGCTGGCGTTGTGGAGGCTTGCGCGGAAGAAATCTGCTGGATTGAATTTGGGGGAACATTATTATTTCAGAAATGCTATGTATTACCATGTTACTAAACCTGGGTAAACATTGGACTACACGTCGGAGATGCCGGTGATGCCGGCCAGGCGAGAGCACGTTATCGACATCGCCGACGCATGTGCAACCCGGGGTGGGTGTGTTCGTCTGTTTGTCCTGCCCGACCGAGACAGATTGAGATAGACAGACCGAGACAAACAGACCGAGACAGACAGACCGAGACAGGCAGACTGATGGAGCGAGACAGACAGACCGAGACAGACGCACCGAGACAGACAGACTGAGACATGCTTGAGCCCGGTTAACATTTCCTCCCGGATCCGAGAGTGCTGCCGAGCCGGTAGGGTGCTAATGACACACTTTTCCCATGTCTGGATGTGTGTCTGCATGTATGTATGTCTGTATGCATGGATGTCTATGTCTGTATGTGTTTCTAAGAGTTCTATGTGTTCTTCCCTTCGATCACGCAGGGGGCAGTGGACCGCTGTCACTCACTGCCCAACGAAGACAGTGATAGTCCGGTCGTGAAATCCAGAAAGGACTCTTTCTGGACGTACCTGCGCTGAACACAATGACTCTACTGGTTTCCCTGGCCGCGTTTCTTTGTTTCCATGGTTGTTTTCATGCTACTTTCCGCCCAAACAGGTTTCCATCCGCCGTTTTCAGCAGCCGTCGTTCAGCCGCGCTTCTGCAGACAAGTGAACACTCTGTTAAACCTTTCACTTACCTGACTGCTTCACCTTTCGTTTCCCCCATCCATTTCCTCGTGGAATTGAGTTAACTGAAAACGCTCTGTCGTCTCACTGGGTGCAGAGTGTGATCTCCCGCAATCGGAGCGCTGAAACCATTGGGAATCACATATTGGTTCGACAGCTTTGCATTCGTGAATCAGGTTACTGGCTCGTTTCCGTCTCACCCATGAATCTTCTGAGCCCTACGCTGCCGAGCCACGGAGATTTGACACCGCCGGGTCCACGGATTTTCTCCTGCTCTCGTTTCAGAGCTTTCGCGGTTCAAGTCTTTTGATGCTGGCATCCACGCTCGTTCATGTACTGTTACAGGCTTGATTGGCCAGCTTCCCGACATTTCCCGACATTTTCACGACTTTTCATATACAACTAGTTTCACTTGTACACTCCGATGCATCGCCGATGGACGTTCAATCCACATTCTGACTATCCATTTTCTACGTTTTGAGAAACTTTTTCCCAGATCCACTAATTCATTCTTCGCTCAGTTTCTAAGAGTTCTACGTGATCTTCCCTTCGAATCGCAGGGGGGGCAGTGAACCGCTATCACTCACTGCCCAACGAAGACAGTGATGGTCTGGTCGTGAAATCCAGAAAGGACGCTTTTTCTTTGTTTCCATGGTTGTTTTCATGCTACTTTCACCCCAAGCAGCTTTCCATCCGCCGTTTTCAGCAGCTGTCGTTCAGCCGCGCTTCTGACAGACAAGTGAGCACTGTGTTAAACCGTTCAGTTGCGCTGACTGCTTCACTTTTCGTTTCCCTCATCCATTTCCTCGTGGAATTGAGTTAACTGAAAGCCCTATGACTAAGTGTATGTTTTCCCTTTACTCTGTGCGGGCGGCTTCGACCGCGAAGCGGTGTGAATATCCATCTGTGGCCTCTGAACACCTCAGACATCAGGACGGGCTCCCTGGACTTGGTCGCAAATAATTTGTTGAGGGTGTCGGCAACACCTCTGAGAGTGCTATGGGCGATGGGCCTTACAGACTGGTCCAAGAAGACGATCCCCTCTTTTTTTTATTGTCGCACCAGAAAGCGCAGGTAGCTTGTGACAATGACCAGCGTGATGGCGCTTGTTGTTTTTCAGCTGTTTTGGCCCGATGAATGCATATGTGGAATTTTGGACTCTCATTCTGCTATTGTGCACGGGTGGAGATCAATTGGCTCCGTTCACTGCAGACTGGCCTAGTGGACTGTGGCACGGGTCGTTGAGGCCTGGGAAAAGGCAATAGGCCTGTGACACATGCGTGTGAGCTTCTGGAGCAGCTCCACAGTGACATGCATAAGGGTCTGAGGAGCGCAGCAACCGCTTTGAGAAGGCAACGAAGATTCTGGATTGGAACCATCTTCTCGGTGCAGCCAATAAAAGTCCAGATCCGGAAGGTGCAGTTGGAGCAGAGCACTTTTGCCGATGTGCCTTTGCAGTGGCGTGCTGCAACTTGGACAGGCGCGAAGGAACAGCTGGAACGCCTGGAGCAACTTTGAGGACCAATCTGTGGCGCAGTGATTGGGGATGTGCCATGATGGGCAGGAAACTTCCAGGAACAGGGGGTGGCACGCAGGCTGAAGAGCCTTGGCACTTTGCAAAGATGAGGCCAACGCTTCAGAACTTATACCTCGCGGTCGCGCGCGGAACAGGCTGCCTTACGTCGGGAACCATGGTGTGATGCACCGGCAGCCCGATGGTTCCGCAGTTGATGAGGCGGATGCTCTCTTGAAGGCAAAGGGCCTAGCTGCCAAGAAGGTGGACATTGCAGCCGGCATGATTTCCTGCTCCATTCGGGACACTTCTGACCCATATAAAGTGAGGACTGGGGTGCAAGTTAACGGTTCAGGGCTGGACTGGTAGTGGGGAGCTTGCCAGATTGTTTATTTGATAGGTATAGATAATAAGCTTCTCGGATGCCTTTTGTGTGTGCAGATGAGCCTGATTCTGTGTGCGCAGATGATCCTGATAAGTGTGTGCACATGATCCTCTCTGTCCATCAAGAAAAGTGGTGGTACTGCTTGGTGGATGCTGTGGTATTCTTTGATTGATGGCATGCCCCCAATGACAAGGCAAGTCTTGTTTCAAACGCTCCCTGGATGACAGTTGGCCAGCCTCCCAGCTGAACCACTGACCACTGACCATTTGCACTGAGGTTGCAGCAATTTGGAGATCTGCAGACACTCAGATGCATGTGAGTTGCTGAAGGGCGCGGTGCAACTGTGACAACAGCCGTGCCGATGTCGTTCGCCGCATGGAGATCAGATGTCGCCGGCGGACCCAGACTGTGGATGACCCTGACGCTACGGGGTGAAGCCAACCGGAGTCACCGGAGACTTCATTTTCGAACCGAGGTATAGATTTTGCCAACGCTAGAACGCCCTGGTGGGCTTTCATCAACAGCTTACTAAAATACATTCTGTGGGAGTCAGGTGCATTTCCGAAATCCATCCGAAGAGACAGTATATCTTGGGATGATATATGGGCCATGGGCTTGGGTGTGCAAATATATGTAAATTCATAGGTAGACCCCCGATCGCCCCAACAGGTTTTGGCTTGCTTTTCTTCTTCCAAATGGCCGACGTTTCGCACCGGTGGCCCTGCGGTGTGGCCTCAGAATCCCTCAGGTGACCTTGACAGGTGTCCACCCTCCTTGGCCGCTTGGCCGTGGTTTTCCCCTTCCCTACACCTCCCTGGCACGGAGGAAGCTACGAGTCTTGGATTTGAGTTCCAACAAGTTTTCCTGGCGGCCGACCTTCTTCCGGAAGCAGCTCAGCCATTTAGAGCGAATCCATCTGGAGGAGCTGAGGCCCGACGAGAGGGGTAGAGTCGGGTAGAGTGCGAGGAGGTGGTGGGCGACTTGGAAGTGATGAAAGGAAACACCTGGAGTGAAGGGGACCCTTCAAAAGTGGTGAATTTACTGGTCACTCAAAAGTTGGAGTTGCAAAATGACAGGCTAATCATGGGAAATCGGACATCCTTTTAGACCATCCATGGGAGTGGAATAGTTGCCTACATGGATGGGTGATGAATAGGGTAAATGTATGCAACAATTCCAGTCGCATGCATGGTTTGGCCTCCTTTATTTGGGATGAAGAGACACCAAAGGTCCTGCAGTTCTGTCCTCAACCTCCTGTGTCGGAGTTTGTTGGAGTTCAATTCTTGGGAATGGCAGTGCATGCAAAAACAAACAGCATCATGGGGGACAGCATATGAAATCTAGTCTATGGTATTTTTTTCCAAAGCGAAACCTGATACTAGCTTTCTTTGATTGATTTGAATGCCTAATCGGAATAAAATCAGCTCAGTTCGAAGTCAGCTAAGGATGGGCATCCTTTCCGGTTCGTGCACCAGCTGCCAGCGGGTGGCCATCGCTTACATCCCTTCCCAACGGGTCGTTTGAACTGTCAATTGCAGCCAACGCAGTGGTTCAGAGGGCCTCATTCTTTATTCAGCCAAAAACAGGGAAAAAAGCGCACCAGAGTTTCACATCACCACTTGTCCATTGCATCCGTAGGGTTTACCATACCCAGCTACCCACTGTCACCCACCTCCCACCTGGCAGTCGCACCCACCTCCCACCGTTCGACAGGCTTTGGCCCAACCCCTTTGCCGACAGCTTCAAGGTGCGGTTTCACCACCGCTTCAACCGTCCGCGGAAAACCCGCGATCCGAGAGCGCCGATCAACGATTGGGGTGTGTGTTTTTGGTGCGAGGGGGGTTGCATCGAAGGCTTTGGTTCAGGTGTTCCTTTTGCTTCATTGCGGTACCGGGAGCTGAACAGGGTCTAAATTGTATACCTAGCACCGGGGCGACAAGGGCTCTAGGATGTTCTAGGTATGACATAGAATATGTAATATATGTAGAGGTGTACTTTATCCCAGAACAGCGCCATTGAGGGACAATGCTTGATTTTCTTGATGGATGAATGGATGTCTACTTGCCATTGACCAAATCCTCGATGGTGATGCAAGGTATTGTGCTGGTTGTCTCGGGATTGGTCACAAGGTTGCAAAGCTGGTTGTTATTACTGTGTGGAGAGAAACCTTTTCTAAAACAGGGAGACCCGCCAAAGATCCCGGAACAGTTTCGAACAAATACAAAAACTAAAACAATCTGAACTTCACGATACAAAGCCTTTTGTAATACCCTGATCAAGATTGCGAGATACGCATCGTTGACCCCACAGCCCACTTTTCAGCTGCGGCTGTGTGCATGGACGGTCGCATGGAGACGCATGCTCAGCCAACAGCCAGCCCACTCCCCATATGTGCTGCGCACGCATGCGCACGCATGCGCACGCGCACGACGGGAGGAATACCAGTTCATCACTGCTGTCACTCTGAGCTCCTTAACCTCACTGGATGGCTTCCACATCGACTCAGAACTCAGGCAGTGGCGCAGTGGCTACCGCGGCTGTGGTTTTGTAAGGAACAGGACACTGGAACTGGAACTGGACTGATTCTAATTATATATCAACACAAGTCTAAGCCTAAGCTCGCTGATAATGTGGAGGCTTGATCATCGCAAAGGGTCGCCAAACCACAAAAGATCACGAAGAAAACAAAGTTCTCTGAACAATCTTTTCCATTGGTCCACTGTGTCCGGAACCATTTGATGAGACGAGGAGTATGCACGCTCTCGTTCAACCAGTTCCTTGACGAAGTGACGTTCATTCCACATCATTCCACGTCTTCCGAAAGGATTGCCTTTGGAGTCACATGTCGGGGTGGTGTTTGATCCCATCCAGTGGATGTTCCGGGCACCCCGACTACCTCCATAGATAGCACCCATTCACATCCTGCTGGATCATTCACATCCTTTACATCGTTTTTTGTGTCGGTGCATCTGCCCGTCAAACAGCTCCGAAGTCGGTCGTGGTCAGCGACGGACCGCGTTGCGGGATCTGAGCGCAACGGCACCGGGCCCCGGCGGACATGAAAGAGGGCTTGCAGATAGTAACCGAAGCCATACATCATTGGCTGTTTGTTCTCCAAAAACCTGGGGTCAGAGTGGAGGCTTTTAGAACAAACGCACCTTATTAACCTATGCGGCGACTGCGAACAGATTCGCGCTAGAAGATGAGGGGACCAAACATAGAAGCCATGATGAGGGGCTATCGCTTATACATATCCTTTGCAAAACCCTCTGAAGCACAGGCCGGTATCTATTCATCGGTGTTTCTTTGCATCGGTTCATCTTGGTCGGACGCGAGCGCTTGGACGTTGAGTGTTGTGTGTTTCTCCGTTCGTTTTTGTGTCCATACACTCAACGGACTACACTGAAAGTGCTGTATATGGCACGAGAGTAGTTTTGAGTGTTGTCCATGTAGTACGGCTTATTAGTACAGCTACAGCCTATATCCCCAGATACTGCTGAACACAGTTTGGACTCAATGACCCAGGTGGGTCCACCGGCGCAGTTTGGGTCCACCGGTGCGGTGTTTGCCGCTGCTTTGGCCGCCAGAAACTGGTCTTCCCACAGCAGGACCCCATCCAGGTCTGCGCGTCAACTCGTGGAAAGGTCCCAATGACTGCAGTTTCGACACCCACTGAAGTGTTGACAGCAGTACCTTGCCTGCCTCTGTGGTTAACTTGGTATCTGGGGTCTATGCCAGTGTAATTTGCTCTGTGAAAAGAACAAACACAGAGACAATCTATATCAATCCCTAGGGATCCAAGTACCTTCTCAGAAGGTGATTGGAGACTATCTATGTAGGCTTGGAGGGCCCAAGTACTTCCTGAGGTTCGGTATGTGGATCCCTAGGGAATCATGTTTCTCCACCTGCCCGGTAGGTTCCAACTACGGGTCCAAGCAGATCAACTGCACATGAATGCGGCGGACTTCTCGATCTTCGACGTGCGCGTGGAGGAGCTGCGCGGGCTCCGGGCGAACGGAGTCGGACGCAAGCGCGGCGGGCGAAAGCGGCGGTGGCAGCGTGGCAGCCGCGGTGGTGGGAGTTCGGTTCCGAACGCAATCCCAAGGCATCATGTGATTGCAAAAAACCTATTGACGTATTAAGAGGAGGTTTTGCCATCCAAATGGGAGGCGTTTATTATTGATCAAGAATCAAGAGTTTGCATTCAGGTATAGGTTGACCAAATGTTGACCAACAGTCCAACAGACCTTGGCAGACTATTCGTTTCATTTTCTGAGGCCACACGGGTCCCCTGGTTTTGTCACACCCATAACGGAGAACTACAGTAAATCTAATCTATTGTGTTGGTGACTGCACGCCCAACACTTTGACACATTTGCTGTAATACTTCCCATTTAATGAATTTGTTCGCATGTGATTTGAAGTGTGGCGGGAAAGGATCAAAGTAAGTGATGTGTTCATGAAGAGAGCACAAACTATGAAACGCAAGTCCATTCAGTATTGGTATTTTCTTGGGTCTTGGGGTGTGTTTTAGCCAGTAGATCCCCAAGCACTTCTCCACTTTTTCCAGGGCCCTCCCCAGGAAAAGTGGATACCCTTTAAGTCCCTTGAACCCTTTTTTGGGGGAGCATCGGTTTCCATCCCACTCAAATCCAGGCGGAAAAAGGGTACATTTCTATAGGGATCGAAGCGGCCTCGGGAGACAGCCAGTTCGCAGTCGGAGCCCACCAGGAGCGCCGGAAGCGGACGGCTCCTGATGAGGTGCTCACAGGCGAAGCGGATGTGCTACTCAGAGTGGATCCAGATAGCGTTAGAGCAGGTCACCAGTGGCAACTTATAGTAGGCCACCCTCTCCCAGTGCCACAGCGGGTAACCTACAAGAAGGTTATACCTACTATAAAACGTTTCTGTCATTACTGCTCTCTACCAGTGGTAACTAGTAGGCAACCGGTACGTTTCAATGCAGGTGTCATCAAAAAAGAACTACAATCCCTCGTTCCTTTTGAGCAGCCGCTGAGCAGCCCCTTTTGAATCCTCCGTGGGTCCTCCGGTCGGTCCTTCTTTGGATATTGTATAACAAACACTGCAGTTGAATAGTGAATGACAGTTTCTTGCGAATTTTGTGTTGAATAGAGAAGACTAGTGAATAGTTGAATAGATGAATAGAGAAGAATTCGTGTTCACTACTCATCCATCGAAAGAGATTGAATGGTTTCACGGCCGACTTCTGGATGGAAAGTCCATCGACCCTTACTACGGAGTGCTTCCTGTAGTGACAGACCCGAGGATGCCTCTAAACTTTTGGCAGGGAACCCTGTTGTGCGCTGGCAGTGGTTTTCTTGCAGCAGGATTTCGTCCATCAAAAGTAGTAGTATAAGGCAAAGGGTAGTCTTGGGGGTACCAGCAGATCTTCTATCAGTTTTCTGATCTTCAAGCTCTTCCTTGAGCTATCAAGGAATGGAACATCTAGTATGTGATGATCTGGTCATCTGGTCAAGAACCGCTGATGTCGCTGCGGGTTCCGGTTGCTCCATGTTCACCCGAAGAATCGCTCAAAGGTTTTCAGGTCTTAAGGGTCCCAAGTCTTGCGATGCTCCAGGGTCAAAAGCCTCCGGTCCTGAGGGTCCTGAGGGTCCAATGACTTCCCGACCCACCGGGAAGAAACACGCAGGAGGAGCTCATGGTCCCTTTCTGTTTATAGTCTTTTTGTTGCTTACAGTATACAGGGTACCTGAGCTGCAATTGTCCTGCAGTTGATAGAATCATGCTACACAGTGCAAGCCCACCAAGGACACCCTTTTTCTATATGGATGTAGAACATGTGTATAGGAAGGAACGCTTTGTGTCTCCCCATGATTCCAGATATCTCTCCTTCAAAAGGCTTAACTTGCTCTGGAACAGTCGATCGCCCCATCCACCCAACTGACAGTCATCCGATACCATGCGCCGTTCCCGCCAGGGATCGAGCAAGAGTTTCTGGGTGGCCCTGCCACTGGGCACCCAATTGGGGGCGGAGGGACACGAAGGACTCCCTTCAGGGCCGATCTTTGGAGTGTCTGTCTGAGCCCATCCTCAAGAGCACTTGAACGGGGCCAGATAGAAGGAATGAAGTGAAGCTGTCTCTTTTTTCTTCTATCCATGTGTTCTGGCACCTATGGCACCTATCCTTGGTCTGATCTGATCAGAACTTCTGATGTCATAGCAACCCGATGGTATTCTGCCCGGGATTCTCAGGTCCTTGACCCTCGAAACCCGTGCCCCAAACCCCTTCTCCGAGAAAAATGGAGGATCCCTGAACCAGGGCGCTCTAATTGGGTGTCTAATGAACAGTTGAGGACGTCCAACATAAGACAATCATGGGGGCGCAAGAAAGGGTGTCTAATGATAGGGGGTGGTCAATGGACATCCCCTGGTTTGGGGTGTCTAAATGATCCCTTACACAGGGCCCTCTGGGCCACGATGGCAGACGCCGAAGTCGGCGGGTTTGCTCTTCCATCGAAGCTCAGTTTGCCGTGAGGGCCAAGCTTTCACGCGATTCGTTGTCTTTGAATGCTACCCAAAGAAGCAAAGACATCCAGGAGTCACATGTCGGGGTGGTATTTAGTCCCTAAGTGGAGGTTCTGGGCACCCCTATCCTCCAAGTTCGGCACCCCTTTGTGACTGCTGGATTGAGCATGTTTTTTCGGGTTGTCCACTTTTGTTGCACATGTCCATTCAGCTTTGCTTCGCAACAAAGGTCTCGCTCGACTCTGTTCATGTTCGGTTCGAAAAACCATCCCGTCCCGGGTCACCTGCCATGGGTCACCAACCAGGTGATGACCTCCAACGGCTCAGATCCACCCTCCAAGTGCCTCGCACGTGGTGAAAAACCTGCCTTACCCCCAGGTGCCAAGCATTCAAGAGCTCATCGATACCATGAGGAGCGCGTTTGAGCACTGCGGAATGAGGGGAGTGGAACCTTTCAGCCCTTTTTGCAAAGTGCGAAAGGGCCTCGTTGCCCTTTCGTGGCCGCTTGTGGGCGAATCGAGCGAAGTCAGATGGGCATCCTTACAGCGTCCGATTTGAAAGCAGCACCCTATTTAGAACGTGCACAGGCTTTGGGGAAAGGATTCTGGACTCCAAGTTGAGGGTATTTTGCAAAAGTTCGCGTATTTTGATATGTAATCCCAAGAGCATCGCGTAATCCATGTCTGCACCTCAAGGAGAACGAAGCGGCTCTAGGTATCTACACATTTCTATACTATCGTGGTACATGGATATGCATGGGATTAGTGAGTCAGCCATGTTTTGAGTCACTCCATTGCAAGTCATTTTCGTGAACTTTGATTTCAATCCTTTGGACGCAATGCAGGCAAACAAATGGGCTGGACCCTTGCAACATAGGAGCAGCAATGGTTCCCAGGTCATAGATGGCCGCCCTTTGCTATTGGTTGGCTGATGTATACAGAGGATACCCCCAAGTGTAGAACCCAAATTCAATTGATAGGCATGGAGTACCAAACTGACCTCTCTATTTCCAAACAGCTATCATTGGCCAGGTCAATCACGTCCCAGCCTGTCTAATCAATCCACGCTGTTTACACACACTTTCCACACTTTCCCAATTCACACACGGTCGCATTTTGTTCTTCACAGTTATAGTTGTACCGTTAGTTATACCGTCCTGAGGAGTGCATTGGATGAACCCAACAACTTGCTGAAACACATCTACAGCCTAGAGCAGAAGGCGAGTCGGGCCTGGTGGAACCCCTGTAATTACCCTGCTCTCTCAGAGCTTTTGGGAGTGACATATTTGGCCTATGCATGGGATGCGGCTTCAGGGATCTGTATATGATCATGTGTATATAGGTACGAGGACCATCCAAAGGGTGTCCAATAGACTACCCTACCCCACGTAAACAGGTCTCCAGACAGGGCACCCGTTGGAAGTGCTAGGTAGGTGTATATTGCTAAGGGGTGCCCAATGATAATGTTTTAGTGCTAAGGGGTGCCCAATGGACATCCGTTGGATGTTCCTGGTAGGTATATCACGGTGACGGAGTGTGGGGCCCATGGCTTCTGGGACACTTATTGGACCACACATGAAAAAAACCGTACTTGACCTATACTGTGTACTGGCTGAGTCTGAGCCGGGAGAGAAACCTGACACCTTCTTTCGGCACCAAAGAATCATGGCAGAAGATCGAGTTTGGCAGATGTGAAGATCGCTGTGCGTAAGGGACGATGGGTCGGTGGGTCCGAGCCACAAATGCCCAATTCACCTGATTCGACTGCGCATTTTTTCCGCATACCCTGGCCATCCAAGACCATTAAACAATGATTGACCTGGTTTTGTGCTGTAAAACCCTTAGTAAAACAATGTGTTTTTTGTATAAAGCGTATTAAGATATTAAACTAATTTCATGGTGGTTGGAATCCCTGGGATAGAATACCAATCGTCTAATAGTTCACCAGGTTGTCCCGTTGGCACAACGGGTCAAGCTGACATGGGCGTCGCTCGCTTCAGGACCATTGGCAAGGTGTTCGTCAAGACTTCCCCAGAGTTACTCCAATTTTTGCTTATTCAATCCTTATTATACCTAGCGCTTCCAAGGGGTGCCCTGTTTGGAGACCTGTTTACGTAGGGTAGGGTAGTCCATTGGACACCCAGACAGGATGACCCTAGGTGGTCCATGTTCCGAACCTTGCAGTGGGGTCTGAGTACGCCTGGCGGGTTCGGTCTCCTGAAGACTGAGCTACGCATTCTGGGTACTGAGTACTGGAAATACCGCTGAACTCGCAGCTTCTTCCCAGTCCGTCGTTGTGCTGGCTTGAAAGCCAAGCAACGGCCCAGCAGCTTCATCCCACTGGGTTCCACCGCGGATGGCAGGTGAGCTGCCTTTGGAATGCGCATTTTTGGGATCGCCGGCGGCTCATGGTGGCCATCGAGGCGGCTGGTGGTTCTGGTCTTGGGTGCCTTTCTGGGGTGTGTTGGTTTGGTTGACAAGGAGTTTGGTGGGTTGTGCTTAATTAAACAACATGTCGCTTTTTGGTTGGTTGGTGCCTTCAATGTTTATTGTTTGATCCCTGTGAGAATAACGCCTTTTCAATTAGGGAACCTAGGTTAGCCTAGGTTCCCTCTGTGGCACCGTTTTACAGTTGCAGCATTTGACAGTTTCTTTTTTTTTTGGGGGGGGGGTTCCCCTGGAGGGGGATCATGGATAGCCAGTAAAACCTGTTTGCCTTTTATAGTGATCCTGGAAAAAAGGGTTTTGGGCTCCGAAAATTTCGCACATTCAAGATTGAATTGATAGTACATGGATGCTATAGATATGCAATCAAATAGAATATCGAATGCAGAATAGAATATAGACTAGTACATTGAATATAGAATCATATAGATACGTAACGTCTTTGGAAGTCAAGCACGCACAGTAAACTGCTGTTTTGTAGAGATTGTAGTTCTCCAAAAGTTTGGCTTTCCAAATGTTGTTTCCTCAGTAACTTAATCAAGTTGATGGACACGAGAAAACAATTTTGTACAAGACTTGTGGGAATCAATGAAAAGCAATAGGTTGTGCTTGTATAGAGATTGTGGCACCCAGGAAATCTGTGTTTGGCTAGACTTAACTGATACTGTATGTTTTTTTTTTTATTAAACAGATTCTTTTAGTAGGTAAATGGATGTAAATGGAGATTATGCAGGCTTCTTCCACATGTTCATCTTCTCTACTTTTCCATCCTTCTCGTGACTCGTGACCTCAGGATCATAACAGGGGAAGTTCACAAGGCTGCAGACTCCGAAAAAGGGTACCTCCCTGATCTGACCCCCCGAAAAGTGTTGAAATGAGGCAAGCAGCGAACTAGCATCCAATTTGGAGAACTGCGAACAAATGACCAGAGTAATCTGAAAGAACAAGCAAGTAACTGAATATAACTGGATTATTCATTGGATTATCTATAGGATGGACTATGTTTTGCGTTAACAACAACTTTCACTATAAACTGGTGCTCTATAAATGCAATTTGGGTTCCAGAAATTGTGGGGGTGTTTGAGGTCGATTTCATTTTTGTATGTGTCAAAAAGAGGCCGATCTTAGCTGAAATGCTGCAAGCCTCTAACCTGTGCATCCTACTTTATAGTGAGTCATGTTTGATTCTATAGAGGTCCAGGGGCACCCTCCAGTTCAAAAAGATCGATGTTTATATAGATAAAATCAGGTGCACAGGTTAGAGGCGTCTTTCCCATCAAGGGAACTTGGAACTTGTGTTTCTTGCACTCCTTTTCCTCGATACCGCCGATCGAGACCTTTCTCAGACGTGCAGCTCTCGCAGCACCCTGACGTCCGGTGCTTCCAGCGTCGGTTCTGGCGGTCTGGCGCACCGGGGGAGAGACCTGCACGAACGCTTCGGGAATCCAGCGAACTCATGGAACAACCGAAGGTGAGAAGCTGCATGCGGCGTCACGAGCCCGTCGGTCGGGCTGCGGCGAGTCGCGTGATACGCCGTGATCGACGCGTTGGGGTTGTCGGTTGCGAGCTTGGCTGGGGCACAACGCCCTCTGAGTTGGAACCCACAGAACAAACAGTGTCCACTCTCCCACCTGAAAGACACCATATTGATCCAGAGTGAGTCGCGCTTTCCAGGAAAGCGGGCGGCAAAACCAGTTGAATGCCACCCAGGAGCGCCTGGCAGTGGCTGCGCGACTGGGCTATCAATGCAGGTCGAAGAGGATGGAGGATCGGTCTTCATCACCCTAAGCACGGACGCTACCAAGGAGGATGTTGGGACCCTCCAAAACCTTCACCTTTGAGGGTCCTTGATTCATTGTGGCAGTTTCTTTTTTTTGGTTCCGGAAGACCACTTGAAAACTGTGGCATAGCATGGGAAGTGTGGGAGATTGTGGGAGATCATTCAACCAATAATTGTGGTGGGTATTGATTTCGTTTGCCATCCAGACCTGGACCAGTTCTTTTCATACCCTTGAATACCCTATCCTGCCCTTCACCGGGCCATTTGGCGGTTTCTCGTGTTTTGGCGAACCGGACACGGACGGCACAGGGGTTCGGTGTTCCACCCGAGGTTTGCAGACAAGATGCAGCAGGCGGAAGGGGGAAGCCGGTGGTGGGGAGAAGCGGGAAGGTGCTTGGGGCGAGAAGCGAGAAGGCCGGGGAAAGGGCCAATGATGAGACCTAAGGGCGGGCCATGATGATCTTTTCAGTCATTTTCAGGAAGAGGATCAGAGGAGCCGGGCCACCAAAGTTGGATTTTTGACTCCCTTTTCTACCATCTCCTTGAGGAGTGGGGCGCACGCTGTTCGTCTCGTTCGTCTCGACGTCCGGAATATTCCAGAGAATATGGAAGATGGACCAACCTTGACTCCTTTTCAACCACTCCAGTTTGTAGGTAAATATTTGTAGCCCTAAGGATCCGCACCCTCAAAAGCAAGGGTTTGGTTCGAGGCCCCAAACCCTTGTGAACTAGAGGGTTACCCTCCCTCCCCCTATCCTCAGGGAGGGCCCGGGAGTCCGGACCCTTAGGGAGGTCAATATAATATTCCAGTCTCATGGATCGTTGAACTCGTTTGAGATGGGAGCGACGCCCCCCCCCGCGATCCTTGGGCGGAGCGGAGCGAGGCCTGGGAGTGTCCATCGACCATCATCTACTCAGGTTTCGCAGTGTTGGAATAAACACGATGCCATGGCAAGGACTCTTGTGATTAATTTATGAATTCAGAAGTCCTTGATCGCAACAAATCACTGATATTTCACGCATATAGAACCAAGACAAGGATCACATTGTCAAGGATCGAAAGGATCAGGAATCAGGATCACTTCCAGTAATGAAGCTGTGACCATGCCGTGGTGTAATCTGGGATGTATCATCCAAAGTCTGATCATGTTTGATCTTGGGCCATTTGAAACAGATCGGCCCTCACTCTGAAGGTCCTGGGGCGCTTTGAGAGCGTCCAGGATGTGCTGGTGATGTGCCTGGTGCGCATGCTCTCCTGTGGAAATCGGCCACTCGGCCAGACCGGGTGGTACACCTGACGACACATCACATGGAAGTGGATGGCGGTCCCTCGGAAGACTACTTTCCTTTACCAACAGGTTTCCTTTTCCACTTCCGATTCCATGGTTAATGAGTCGGAGCCGGAGTGTGATTTTTTCCCAGTCTCCCCCCTTTCCATCCCTTTCCCCTCCCGTCCGACGGACGGGGCCTTTTTTTCTGTCGGGCATTTTGGACACTATGAGATGTGAATCAGTGCCTCCTGTGCAGTGAATCTGGCCGGGGCTTCCCCACGTGCCCTCCGTGGAAACCAACCCACCGACCACTCCGCGCTTCCCCACTCGATCACGAGCTCGATCACGAGCTCTTTGAGGTCCTTAGCCGAGCGCTGCGGCAGCTTATTGGCCGAGTGGGTGGATGCCACGGCGGAGGAGCTGCACGACCGCATCGACAGCATGTCCGAGGCTCGTTCCGCCGCGCGAGGTGCGTGTGCGCCGCGTGTCTTTGCGGAAACGAGGAGTGAGTGAAGAATCTGTCGTAGACGGGATTTTAGAGTACCTTCGGAAGTCAGAAATATATATATATATATATTATATAATATATATTTCTTTTATTTTTTTTTTGAAGGATAGGTTTCTCTTGTAGGGCTTACATGGGTCTACTGTTTAGTCTTTCCGCAGTTTGTTTATTTTCAGGGGGTTCTTTCGCGCCTGTTGGTGAGCGTTTCCAAAAGGGGGTGGTTTTAGACGCCTATTTTTCCTTGGTTAGGAGTAGTTGGGCCAGTTGGGCTTGGATTGGTTTCGGATTCTTTGGGTTCTACAGCTCAACGACCTGATGGAATCAAACAAGTCGCTCACTCCGTGATGCTGACAGGCTTCAACAGTGAGCACTTGATCTCAATGTTTCGTTTATGTCCATTACTGTGCACAAAGTCGCGGAATACCAAATACCTAGAAAATACAGTGTTGTTTGTAGTAACCCTTCTGCAAACTACAGTTGCCATGGTTGGTTTGGAAGATATCGCTAGTTGTGGAAATGCTTGCAAGTGGCAACTTTGTGGGAAGTGGCCAGATAGTTCTGGTGTGCCATGCCAAGAACCAACGCCAAATTGTAGCCGCAAAGAGTTTCTGCAATGCCAATCTCGCTTGCCTCTTGCAGAAGTTCGCTCAAAAAAACCACTCTGGATTTACTTTTCAGGTGATTCCACTGGCCGCCAGCTGTTCCAGGCATTTCTGAAGTACGTTGCGATAGACTTTTCTTCCAGCCTTGGCAACTTTTCAGAGTTCAAACAGAAAGTTCGACAATGCACAAAGCTACCACAACTGGATACGAAGGAAAAGGAAGAGGTGAATGCCGAAGCAATTTTGGCAGGAGCGCGGGCTCCAAAGTGGGGCATAAATGATTACGTGTGCAATTGGAATACAAGTTTTGACCAAAGGCCTGTGCAGTTGACCCTTGACTGGCGGATGTTCGTGGCGTACCAATTGAACGATTTACATGTGTTGGACACTGCTGCGCAAGTGGGAAGATTGCCAACTGTTTGGGTGGTAAATTCTGGCGTGCACGACTGCAATTATCTCAGGCGTAATGTGACGCGGCTGGTTTCATCAGTGGACAGATTTTTTGCTTTTTTGAATCAAAACCCTGCTTTGAAGAGACGAACGGTGGTCGTGGGCATGCAATACATGGCAAATAAAAGTGAAGAGACGAACGGTCGGCCTGGCTATCTATACAATTGTTCACGAATGCTTCACGATTTGATGCTAAGAGGTGCTCAAGGACACGGAGTTTACTTTTTCCCACGCTGGGAAACCACACGCATCTATGCGGAGCGCTATGGTTCCATGACTCATTATCCAGAATCAGTCATTCAAGAAGAAGTGCCATCACTGGTAGCTGGTTTGACCTGTGTGTTCAGAAACCTTGCGGCTGAACATGACTTCACCATGCCCTCCGACATCTCACCCCAACCGAAGACAGCCTTGCTATTCTTTTTGCTTGCAGCCGTTGCTGTTTTTTCTTCGATATTTGCCAGAAAGATAATAAAGATGCTGCATTGCGCGATGTCGCGTAGAGAAGGTGTTGCTCTTCGATCTGACGCAGCAACTATCGGTACTTGTGAACGAGCCGAAGAAGATGCCGAAGAAGCGGAGACGGAGCCGCTGAAATCAGTGAAGTAGGAAAATAGGCGCTTGCACGCGCGATCGAAGCCGATTGACGAGATGGTGCAATCAAACTTTGCAAAATTTACCCCCTAAAGAGATCATCACTCTTTGAGATCGAAGTTCACCGCTTTTTTGAGTTTGCTGCTACTTTTGATGGGTTACGTGCCTGTTCAACATCATCACTAAAATGTGTCCAACCCATATGCGAACGTCGTCGCCAAGTGTGCTGCAAGCCAAACAGTGCCCTCAAAAGTCTGCCACGGCCTCTTGACAAGAGGTTCACAAACCGCTGAACGCATCCGAGAAGTCCAGACATGGGTCCAGACACGAGGCATAGGAGTGGGGATATGTGTGTTCTACAGGGCCCAGACCTAGTGGTTGGATGACAAGGAACAAAAATAGAACTATGGATCCACGTACCGAACCTGAGTTGCTGAGCAGGGAGACGCCTCAGGAGTTGGCGGTGGATCCTTAGGGGAACCTTCACCAAGGGGGGCACAGGATTGCGTTGTGCAAACGCCCCTGAGTTTCTCGATCCAAGCGACCGCCTTGGAACCAAGCCGTAGCATATGGGATCTGGGTAATGGGTCATTGTGTACCAAAGTTAGTCCCAATTGGAAGAAGAACTGGACGAACATTCTCAACAAACTCACCTTGTCACTGTCTAGACGTTCAACAGGGGGCAGGGGTTGAATGGTGCTTGGATCCGCAGGCAAGATGTCGGGACAAAACACCAAGTAGAACCTTGAGCCTATAATACTGAATACTCAAGAATTCCAGCAAGTATCTATAGCGACCCCCAAAATAGAAACAGTAACCCTCAGGTATATATGAGTTGATTGTTTCAACCACATTCAACCACGATTTAGAAGCCATATGTCTAATCATGTCGCCTGGACCTTCCCCACTACGGTACGCTCATCTCTCCGCTCCTCCCCACTCGGCCCCGGTTCTCCCCGTGCGAGTACGTCAGGCGCTCTTCCGGGACTTGCCAGGGGAGCTCAGTTGGGAGAGACCGACTCGGTGAAGTCGGTGGGAGGGGATGCAGATGAAGAGAGACAATGAAGACAATGAAGGGTGGGTCTACTTAATTCCTAATTAAGTGAGTGGATCATGGGCACCCCTATCACCCCTATCCTCCAATAGGCATCCTGAGGTGACTCCTGATATCTTTTATTTGCAAGATTTTTCTGGGTGGGATCTGTCATGTTGGAATGTACTGGTCTTATATAAGTCTTATGCAAACCTCCTGAGCGTGAGAGTTTCCAGGTTTAGAGGCCTTTAGACAGCTTGGTGTGGCAGTTTGCACCTGAAGCCCACCACATGTGTAGACACGTTTGTTCTTTTAGGTGGACCTGATGCCTTCTGAGAACTTACCAGATGCTGCCTTAATTTGGGGGGTCAAGGTCCCATTCAGCAGCACGATCCACGGTTTCAGTGGCATCATCGCCAGCTTCTCAACGGACTCACTGGTCACTCGGTCACTCGCACGTCCGGCACCGGCATGACCATCGGATGCACACTCGGCCGCCGGACGGGTTCGGATGCTCGGACGGGTCCAACCAGTGGAGGAGACCGCCAGTGGAGGAAACAGGTCTTCCAGGGGCCGAAGCGGCCGAAGCGTTCCACTTCCATGATTGTTTTGCATTACTTCTGTAATTACGCAGCCTTTTTGGTTGGTTGGTGAGCCAATCACACTTAAAGCAGATGAGCGAGGAAGCAGATTGTGGGTCCATGGCATAGACGACCTACTTCATAGCAAATTGGATTCCTTCTTTTTCGCTGTGGTGTTGGTACACGAACACTCTCACCTGGTGGACTTTGATCAGAGCTTTTCACCTGGTGGACTTGATCTACGATCACGAACAACCCAACCGAACACGTCAACCCGTCGCAGCCAGACATCAAGAGCTCCGAGAAAACTAAAACGTCCGAGGCGCTTCCAGCTGGTCCAGGGCATCAAGAGCGTCAACGAGCGGCCCATGGTGTGGGAGCCCGGCAAAGCGCGCCGAGTCGGAGGTGGTAGGTTCCACCGGCTCGGTCCTGGGTCAGATCGGCTCCGTGATAGGGAGCGCCATGGTGAAACGGGGAACGCTGCTGGGCTGCGGGTTTGGTGTGAACATGTTGGCTCCCGTGGCTCCCCGTGTTTTTGCGCACGTGGCCCCCCTGTGTTCTCGATCAGAATTGGAGAGGGAAAAGCCACCATGAGCCACCCTGAACTGTCTGAACTTGTGTGTGGTGTGTGTTATCTTTTTTCAAAACCATCAAACACCTGCAGCTTGGGGGTCGAATGGTCCATGATTCGCTTCCTCACGGACCCGAAAGATGTCTAGACAACGAAAACCTCCAATGGTCCAGGCATATTCGATTGGTCTTTTCCGACGTCCGCCTCCTGTGCTGCTGGAGCGAACTGAGCGAACGACTCAGTTTGGAATGAAGGGCGAAGGACTCATCGTAGTGAACACTGGCAGAACCCTGGAAGTCCAACATGACTCATTTGGACTTTGGACCCCTCTGACAGTGCTTCAATGACTGCCAGGTCGGGAAAGGATCAACAATCACAAAAACAATCACAGGACCCAGGACACGTGGGAGTTGGTTGCATGGACACCCCTTATATATTATATATATCACTTAATAGACACCCCCCGCAGCGGGGCTCACTGGTTGTTCTAAGGATGTTTCTTTTTTTTTTTAAAGTGATCAGCACTTCCTACCAACGCAGGGTGGAAGTTCTATCTCTTCTTTCGGAAAAAACCCCACCTCTTTCGACCAAGCGAAGCCTCGGGCGGCCACGGGCCACGGCGGCGTCACACGGCTCGCGGACTCGGTCGGCTGAGTTGTGCTATGAAGCCTCACACGGCCGTGCCAAGCCGCTGGGGTCGGTCGGGGGGGCGGCGTGGGGAGCGGGGTTTCGTTTCGAGGGTCCTCGCGCGAGGAAGACGTGTGGAAGTGAGAAAAGACGTCAATTCTGAGGTCCCCAACAATCTCTTTGAAGGCGGGAGGTGAAGAAACCTTTGACGTGAAAGCACGGTGGTCGGGGTAGGGTAACCGGCAGAGGTTTTCTGACTTGGCTGTAGGTCAAAGCCTGGAGCCCCACACCAGGGTAGGTTAGACCTCCTTAGTATAGTGCATTCTGCTCATTTTCTTTGATCAACCAAGGTACCCCGGTTGTGACCCACGGCAATTAACTTCTATTGCTGATCACATATCATCAGATCTTATATTTAGCATATTGCCCATGCATCGTCGAAAACAGCCTCTGAAGTCAGAGTAGCTTGTTGCCTCCAGACTCGTGCCTCCTTCCAATTTCGATGAACCACTTTCCATTTCTCAAATCCCAAAAGGGATCCCTCAAAAAAGCAGGGTGTCCTTGGTCTTCGGTCGGGCTGGCGGGTCAGAGCTTGGCGCAAGCTGCGCAAGCGCGCTCTTGCGCTCTTGCAAGCTCGACCCGGGTGATGTCATTGTGATTGCCCGGTTGTGGGGGAAAATCTCCGACCACTGGCTGACTGGTGCTTAGTATATGGGAATGGATCCTGAGGGGCCTACAGGGGTGATTCATTCCCTCATTCCCTACGAGTCGCATGAGTCTGCTGGGGAGGATATTTTTATGCTTTCCTGGTTCGGAACGCAAATCCAAGAGAGCCTAGGAAGGTGGATGATGAGGATGAATACGATATCGAGCTGGAGCAGACGCTCGGCGCATATTTCGCTGATTGGGAAGCTTTGGAAGGCTGGCATCAAGCTAATATGGTGAAATCACGAGATGTTGATTCACAGATTATTTGGAGTATGTCAGGGTTTCATTATGTGCCAGAAACTGCTGTCAAGTTTTTTCTTATTAATATGTTTGAACCCCTTTCAGACCCACATTGACCTGGCACCTTGGGCTTTCTCTCTCCGAGATGTTGCCGAAGTGGTTGGTGGGGGCTATTTGATGTTCCCTTGTTAGTTGGCAATGGGCTTTGACCAGATATCACATCATGAAATCCTGCTAATCCTTTGGGGTGTTCCGAACGCCCCACCGAACGCACTGTCAGAGATGTGGACGGAGTGCGTGGGCGGAACCGACCATGACTTGGGAGGACGGGTGATTAAAAGCCCCGGGCGCAAGGGGTTTTGCTTCCGGGGCGTCTGTGTCTCCGGATTTGAGCCTACACACCCGATTCAATTGGATTGAGATCCAGAAAACAACGGCGAAGACAGGGGGTTGAGTCTGACTGACTCCAGTTGTTGTAAGGTTTCCTTATGTTCTGCACCACATCAGGGGTAGAACATGTGTCACTCTGTGCCATTGTTTCCCAAACTGTGCAGGATATCTTCAATTTGAGCACGTAGCATTCCAACAGCCAGGCTGTTCAATTTTTTTTCAGACATGGTTTGACCCCTTGTAGCAACCATGTTTCTACCTGCACGCCCCCCCCCGTGATTTCGAAGCACCCTGTGTAGGGTTTTTGTAACTTAGCTAGCTCAACATGTCAACATGTAGCTGGTATCTTTGAGGTTCACCCTGAGATTTTTAAGTCGGTTCAAGCGATCGGCTTTCCTTTGGAGGGAGAGGCACTAGGTCTTTGGTATACTTTCCGTCCCAGACAATTTATTTATGAATACATCTGAACACAGGGGGCGTTGCGCGTTCGCGCATTAGGCTATCACACCGAGGGTTCCCACCTGTCTACTTTGAACAGGTGTTTGTTGACAGGCGTCGCGCAACAAACTTGACCCCGCCCGCCCGCCCGCCCCAGAGTGGGTGTGGCAGTTGCAGCTTCTATCCTTCCACCCCAAGTGGTGCTAGGGTTGGTGCCAGGCCTGGGGTGCTCTCAGTTTGCCACCTCCCCAAAAAAAGATGTTGGTGTGATAAATCTTCAGTCACGTTGTTACATTGACCAAGTTCAACCCACCTAATCACAGTCAATATTCCAGCAACAGAATATGTATAATACAGATGTAGATATGAGCAACCGCCTAAACATGTGATGACCTATTTAGTAAAGAGCGGCCGTGAATTTCAGGAATGTGGCTGAAACGTGCAAAAGTGAGAGGCTCCCCACACAAGTGATCAGCTTATTAGAACATGTCCTCTTTGCTTGACGTTTTGGCAGACACTCATGTAACAAGAACTATAGCGCACTTACACTGACATCGATCAATGAGACCATCATTGATGCGGTTCATTCATCCGTCAACCTCAATATTGGTGTGTGTATTAATAGGGAGAACTCTCAGTTCGGCTTCCTTGGAAGAAGGAACATAGACCAAAGCCCATGTTTTTTGTGTGCCTCCCCATTAAAGTTTACAGACCCATATTGTCGGTGCTCTTCTTCTCCTTTTAACTTCCTTTTCCTATAGCTATCAAAGGCTTGCTCAGCTAGCTGCGACTCCGCACAGCAGCTCTCTGAGGATCGAGGCCAGTTGGTACATCTTGACGGCCTTGAGCAAGTTTGGACCCAGCCCCTTGGACCCGGTGTTGTTTTCGCACCGTCTTGCCGTCCCCCCTTTTTTGGATCGTCGCGAAGAACTCGTCGCTTCGCGGCGACCCGCTTCTTTTTGAGCGCGCGTTTTTCTCTTTGGAGGGGTGGTGCAGCCGTTGGTTGGAAGGTCGGGTGGAACGGGGAGGACGAGAACTGAGCGCGGAAGGTGGGGGGGTGTGGCAAGTGATGGCAAGTGTCCACACCTGGTATTTGCTCAATTATTTGACATTTCAAACAATGGTTGAAAAACCTTGATCGATCTATACCAGTGCTCCAGGGTACACATCATCCAAGGAGGAATCACAATTCGTGCCAAAAGATGGCTCCACTCCATTGAATTTGAAACCGAGGGCCCTTCTCAAGGTTACGCTAAATTCCGATCCAATGGCCCCACCCGAAGGATGTTGGAGAGTTTGTCTTTCACATCCAAGTGAATATGTAGCATTCATATCAACTGGTGAAGTCGCTCGCTCCTGGGGAGAACGGATCTTTGGGAAAGGCGGACGAGAAACACACCCCACGCGTCGCGGGACCTCGCGGTCGCAGAGGCACCTTGTACGAGCGCATGGTCTCGCCCTGGCGCGCACGGGTTCTGCGGCCCTTCCTGCCGGTGCTGTGCCGCGAGCCAAAGGAGGTCTTAGGCACCAGGGGGTGCTGTCGTGCGGTTTCTGCGCGGGTCTGCCGTGGAGGTGGCGAGTGGACATAGATGCAGAATGCTCGGATAGGCTCAGATAGGCTCAGATATGCTCAGATGGATTCATTTAGAGATGATTAGCAACTGTGTATATGTTCCATCATGTTCCATCTTCACATAAGAAGGACACAGTGTTTCTATAGATTCTATAGTAATCCTGAGGGGAAGGGGGTGTTGAGGAGGTGTATGGCATGGAGGATGGCATGGAGGGTTGTGGTTGGAGAAGCTTGTTTTCCTTCTTCAACTGACTCAGAAGTAGCTGCCTTTCAGGCGATATCAGTCGATGAGAACCTCAAAGATATACCCAATATCTTCAAAGAGACTTGGACGTGGACTTCCCCAAGCTTCCTTCATGATTGCATCGGTTACTCACAATGCCAAATGCTCCAAATGCAAGTCATTGTCATGGCATCCTCACACCATCTGAGATAAGAGAACACATCCCAGTACCATGCAAGGCTTTGGGTCTTAAGACTGAAATGCAGAATATGTCTTCCAGAAGTCCAACTGTCACGCTCTTTTGAGTGAGTTCGTTACCTGCAAATCATATGTTTTTTCTTGAGACTCTCAGACCTCCGGGGCTTTCAGCCGCCTGGCTCAGCTGGGTGAACCCCCGCCCCCTCCGCAGCTCCCTCGCCGTCCGCCGTCCGCCTCCCGCCGGGCAGGGCCGGACGGTCCGCCCGACCGCTGGGCGGAGTACGTGGGCTTCGACTCCTTCCCCGATGAAGCGGCTGAGGTTCGGACCGGGAAAAACCGGGAACGGAGGGAGATGGAGATGGTGATGGTTGATGATGGTTGGTGATGGATGGGGAAAGGAAGGATGATAAGGATGGGTGGAATGAGGAGGAATGAGGACGGACATTATGACCCGTGTCAGTCAGAGATGCTGACTTTCAAGTTGTTTTCGTTGGTTTCTTTTTCAATATGTTGTTTGCCCATTAATTAAAGTATAGTTATTTCAATTGCCCTCAGTGAATTGTTCTTTCTTCTTCGCCCCGCAACATGTGGCTGGGCATCTGGAGCGGAGATCTCGGGCGCCTGACGTGAGGTGATCGAGGCTGAGATGAACCTGGTGGGCTTTCAGGAGAAGTGTGCACGGCAGGCAGGGATGGTGAGTTCAGCAGCCCGCCAGGGGTCCGTAGTGAAGGGGTCCATGTAGACCTGATCACCTCGGCGAAGATTGAGACCCCAAGAGGTGCCCAGGGCTGAATAGGATCTGACGAGGTGGAAGCTGTAAACGGAGCACGGAGGAGCGTAGGGCCATGTGTCACTGTCCAACTCTTGTGGATGAACGGAGCTTCTTGGTAGATGGGATGACCGCTTTTTGGCGTGCCTTTCCACATGCCCAGGGCTTTGGCGGCTTCGTGGTCGAGAACGCCTTGGAAGATGGCATGGTGAAGGCGATCGGGAGGACTGAAGAGTGCGTACACGCCCCAAAACACCTGGTGTCGTGGTCGGACGGACCTGCTGTCGAACCCAAACAGTGGATGTGGCACGACCTGCCAGGTGCGAAAATCGTCGAACAGCTGGGGCTTGAGGACGCATGCGGACCCATGACCAATAATTACACTTCAGGGTGGCTTTCAACTCGTGGAGTGGAGAAATGCTTGGCAGGAATAGCCACAGCCGCGAGTTTCAAGTGGTTCTTAGGGTCCCAAGTCTGTCACCCCCAACCATCAAGTAACCGCCAAAGTCCTCCTAATGAGGGGGGGTGGAAGACTAAACCCATCTTCCTACCATCTTGAGCTCCGACCTGTCCGACTGGCAAGGTGTACTTCAAGCAGCACAAGGCCCAGAGCCTCTCCTCCCTGCGCCGCGTCATGCCCAAGCGCACGCTGCACGTGCGCCCGGTCGGAGCCGTCAAGAGGACACAGGCGGGGAGTGCTGGGCCCTTGGAGTCTGACTTTGAAAGGTGTCTTGATACACCAGGAGTTTGAAAGTGCCGAACTTGGAGGGGAGAATCCATGATTTTATTCATTTGGGGAAGGAACACCAGATCTGGAACTGCTGGGTGCTTTTTATTCTCTTCTTCAGATTGACTTCAGGGGTAGGAAGGGAAAAGAAGAAGGTTGCTTTGTTGGTGCCAAGTGCCTTCTTCACTCACTTTTGACTCAGCAAAGGGGCATAGACTCTTGAAGGGCCCTGGCATAGGAGATATTTTTGGGCAGGTCCGTACGTAAAGTTTGTATAGCTTCTTGGATGAGAGACGAGCATTTCATGACTATTGAGTCTCCTGCTGCCAAAGAAACCAGACACCCCCATCCACATCCTTCGCTTCAGCCCGAAAACTCGCTTCAACCTCCTCCAAGCCACTGAAAGACCGATGACGTTCCCGTTTGCGAGGGTGCGCATACTCGCATACTCGAGTTCTCAAGAACAGGCCGCACCTCTGTCCACTCTGGACTGGTCCCCGAAACCCTCATGTAGGGGCAAGGAAGCTACTAGGGGCTCCTGGCCGTACTACTAGGAACAAGAAGGGTGAAAACCCCCCTCTCCGAAACGGTGATCATCGCCGTTCCCCAAGCTCCGCCCCCCCTTTGCTCCAGCGATCTCTTCCACCGGTCGGGCCGGGGGGTCCGTTCCGTCGCTGGCGCCGGCCTTCGTGCAGTCGGAGCCTCCAGGCCTCGGAGGAGGGCGATGGGAAGAACTACAGCTGGAACGCCTGGGTCAATGGCCTCGCCGTGTGGCTCGAGCGGAGAGCGAGCGGGATCGCAAGCGAAGGGCGGAGAGCGGCAAAACCACTGGTGGACCGCTGGACATGGGGAACGAGGCCAAAAGCATGAAAAGCACTGGATTTGGGAAGCTTTTCAAATCCTTTTCAAATCCTGTCCTTTTTAGCTGGTCTTGGCTATGTGATTGCTTGACGGATTGCGAACGAGAGTCCCCCAGATCGCCTGCAGATCGTCGAATCGCCAAGAGCATCCACATTCGCACGACATCTGACTACATGTTGACTACATTCATCTACAGTTATTAGCACCTGGCAGGTGAAGCAATAGTCTCGTGCCCCAAACCATGCCTTTGCACCATTTGTACCAGTCTGTCAGCAGATTTCAGACCTTCTCCACATGAGTCACATGACCCACATCACTTCTCCAAAGCCATGACTCCAGCTCCACCCTTCGAATCGCCCGGAACTCCACACCGAAGTACTCCAGCAGCTGGAACCCAGGTCGCCCCGGGTCGAGTCGCAGGGTGGCACCCACTCAGTCGATCAGGTTGGTGTCCGCCAGCACCGACCCGCACAACGCGGCGGTCTGTGTGGCCTTCGACGCTCACGTGGCGGTGGTGACGTGCCTCGGCGAGGAAAACGCGGAGTTGGGCGTTGGGGTCTTGGAAAGAAGGGTGGTGGCTTGGCCCAAAAATGTGTGAGGTGTAGGCAAAGACAGGGGCCATGTATTTATAGTGATGGGAACTGAATGGAACTGATATGAATCAACTAGATAGTCATGGCATGTCATTGCCATACCCCAAAAATGTTGCCATAGACATCCATAGACACTCAAAATGGTCATAGCATGTCATAGGCATAACAATGATGACAACATCGATACGCCTTTTGGCAAGAACCTCACATATCTTAAATTGACAGCAATAGAACGCAGCAAAGGTATACCATGGCTTGAATGGTATATACCATGTTGTTTTTTGTTTAAACAACAACCAGCAATTTCGATCCATTCATTCAAGCCATGGTATGTCCATGCTTGTTTCCGGGCCTGTTCTGTGCCACATGGGCGCTGTCAGGCACGAGAGCGACAGCCAGGGCTTCACGGAAGCAGCACTTCTGGGAAGCAGTGAGGCCCGACTTGGAGTTGTCCTTCAGAAAAGTCAGTGATTAATGTAGACCATAGGGCGAGGCTCCAACAGTTCTTTTTCCATGTGTTTTCTTAGAACCAGAAGTGACGTATTCTATAGACCCCCAAGCACCTTCAGGAAAGGATGGAGAGACGGGCTGAACCTGGTGCAGGATTTGCATGCAAAGCAGGGGCGGCCGGGAAGAAGGAAGGGCCGAAACGACACCACCCGTCCAAAAGAAGCAGAGGTCGGATGCTGGCAATGTTGGATCGTGATTAGTAATAGGGTCCTATATAATTAATGCTAAATATTTTCAAACATAGGTGTGGTAAGGCATCAGCTTAGTTTTCTGCTTTAGTTTGATGTAGTTTTGTGATTCTGGTTTCTGCCACCTTCCCATGCTTCATCCTCCCTTTATTTTCGCACACCAAACATGTCACCGCCTCCCACACTCCCGACCCATGCTGAAAAAACCTGTCCGCCTACCAGGTTCCCCCGAAATCGGCCCACCGCCAGGCCAAGAACGCCTTCTTGCGCCTGCTGCAGTTGGCCCGGAACTTGATGTGCGCCTCCGGAGATGCCGGGGTCAAGGCGTGCGTTCACCGGGAGGTCGAAGGGTGCGGAAGATCGGGTGGTTGAGGAGCGAATGGAGCTGTTGCGAAGGATAGTTAAGCCTGGGTGGAACCCTGGGATGAATTTGATTCAGTGGGAACTGCATGGGAACTATCCTTTTTCTCACCACTTTCGGTGACTTTGGTCAAAAAGCTAGACTTCAACTCACGCTCACCAGGCCGCACGATACTTCCTGGAACAGAAGCTCCACTCCCGCTGTTGGTCCAGAGCCCGCAGGCCTCCGCGACCTTCGGGGGCGGTCGGAGCGGTCGTTTGGAGGGTGCCGATGTTCGAGAGGCAGGCCCTTTGGTTGGGAGTGGGACATACACAGAGCCCAGTCATGAGCGGACCTGGCATTTTCCGCACTTCAAGTCCCATATGATCTATAGCTAGAGCCCAGTCATGACCTCTGTTTTGATAGAAAAACACTTGTTCGGAATTCTTGTGATTTTCTATGTTCATCATGTGGACCCTCTTAAAGGTTGACCTCGCTGGACCGTGGGGTTGATCAGGCTCTTAACGCAAGGGCGGGCCAGGAAGCCTATAGAAGCACGATGGGAGAAGACATGCCACCCCATTGGCCCCCCTGAAACCTTCCATCCCTTGCTTGATCGGGAGGTTTTGGGAAGTAAGTATGCAGGCCCAGAGGTCTTTGGGGGACACGAAGCATCATCGTGGCACAGACCAAGGCCAGTAGACATCCACTTACAGTAGCCATTGGTTGTGCCTGCCTTTATTATCGAACAATGCAAATAATATGGGTAAGTAGATGTTAAAGTAGCATATGTGTGGGAGGATCACATCATTCAGCTCACAAGGTGTCGCTCTTTGAGCACTTCAGGAGTTTGGTTACATAACTTGGTGATTCCTGGTGTGTCATCAGCTTCTACGTAATTCCTTCAATCGATGCACCTCTACGGGCCTAAGGTATTGAGGGTCCACTAAACCAAGGGAATTCATGAACTTTCTTTTCTATCCACCTTCTGAGTCAGCCAAAGTCTCAAGCAGATACAGAATCTGGTGTAATTCTGGGCAATTCCAACTCCAGTTGCTGGACCCATTTTGATGTTTTATCGTTCCATGATGAGGATGCGCTAGTCGTCCATGCTTCAAAACGTCCATGCGTGGCATGTCGCTCTTGCACTACGACCAGGCGTTTGCAGGAAGGGGGGTCTCCTTTGCCCCTGAGCCGCTTGTGCGAGCTGTCGGAGAACCCAGTGGACAACGCTGGGGCAGTTTTTTGGGAGGGACTTTCTGGGTCAGCTAGGCAATGCTGTTTGTACTTGGCCCATGTCGCTGCGTCTGTTCTGAGATGGCTGAACCCGAAGCACCGGTGATGCGTTTCAACGCCTCCGATCCGGATAAGATCTTCTGGATTGATCCTTTCGTTCAAACTTCCTGTGCTGTTTCGGCGTCACCTCGAACAGCTCCAACGTCCCAAAACAGGTTTCCTGGAAGGCATACAGATCGGCGGCTCGGCTGTAGCCGAACTTCGAGACGGTCTGTGTTTGGGGGCGTATCAAGATGACGCTCCAGGTCCATCAGCTTCACACCTCAATCCAAAACGATCCGGGGCATCAGGCCTGCCAATGATGTGGCCTTGATTGGAGAGCTGGTGGGTGTTCTCATCACGATGATGCGCTGTGATGTGAAGGACAGCAGAGATCCCCCTTTTCGACCTGGCGATAGAGACATCGGGTGGAGACTTTGGGCGGACATCGCAGGTATTTGGACCGGGCCTTGTTTTCCAACCAGGTTCCAACCTGGGTTCCAAGCTCCTGGTCGGGGTTTCTCAAGCCTTCCGTTTTGGGAGCGCCCTTTAGATGGTGATGCCCCATGCTAAGAAGAACCGAAGTCGCTTTGTATCCCAACCTGCTTTGCTGCGGAAGAAACTGGCCAAGTTGGGCCGAATAGGCTGGCTGGGAAGGCGAAGAAATCGAGTTGTTTGTTGAGTGATTTGCGAAGAAGGAACAACAATGAACAACACAACAACATGAGCAAAAGCAAGAACACGACCGACAGTACAAAGTCATTTCCAACAAGAACGAGAAGGAGGAAAAAGGGGAAGGACAGCAGCAGCAGCAACAACAACAACACCAACAACAACAACAACAACAGCAGCAGCAGCAGCAACAACAACAACAACAGTGACCTCAATGGAACACAAATCAAGATCAAGGACCAGAATCGTATTCTTCCACACCCACGGTGACTGAAGCAGCATGTTGTGGTCTGGGACTTCTCCTTTCCTCAGCACGGCCATGTCGGTACTGGGGTCGGTTCATCAGGAGATTTGCGACAAGGCCATGTCCGACATCAAAGCTGAAAACGGCCTGGACGTCTTCGATGTGCTGCTGCAGGCGATCGAAACACCGGAAAGATGGCTTGGTTGGGGATGACTCATCCCACAACAATCCATGCGTGGTACCTACGGGCGTTTTTTTTTTTTTTTAAATATTGTTATTATATATTTTTTTAAAATAAGTTATTTGTTTCCATACATATCAATCACAATCATACATACATGGATTGTTAGGGAATCCCTCTTGCATGAAGAGGGAGGGAGGTCAGCAAGAGTCACCTGGCATGTGTTTCATGGTTGAAGATTCGAGAGCTCAAGGTGGGTCGGCGCCAGGTGGCTTCCTCTACTTCGAATCCGGATCCCTTTTTCCTGGCGATCTCCTACGAGACCATCTACGTCTTCCTGAAGAGCGAGACTTGTTCAGCAGACGGTCTCCGGTGGCCCAAACCGGCGCGGTCTCCGGTCGTCCGACCGACTTGAAAAGATCGGGGATGCCGAAGGTTTTGGGAAGAAGTTGATCCATGAATTCTCATGAATTTAAGGGTATTGAATATTGGATCATTGTGGATCCAATTATTTATATATTGAAATATGTTGAAGGATGGATTTTTAGACCCTGCCACTTGGGAGGAAAGAGAACTCATGTTCCCACAAATGGCCCACTTGTGCTGCCATACTGTCTACATGTATGAGACCTAGATGACATTGAATCCAGATTCTCTAAGATCCCCACATTTGCAGCCCATCCAGCAGCGCAGACAGATTTCATTCATCTTCCGACACATTTGCATCAATGCAGCTTCATCAAGAAGTTCCTATAGAAAAGTAGAACATGAAAACACCTGTTCATTGGCTCATTTTGAACACAAGCATGGCTTTTGAGAGCAAGCAGGACCTCTCCGAGTCATTCGGAATCGTTCGCCACCCTGAGCTTCTGTAGATTTGTTTTCAGACTGGTGCTTACCCGGGAATTGAGGGAATGATCCTTTTCTACGTGAACATGCCTGCTCGATACCGATACTTGGGATATCTTGGGATCCTCTCCTTCCTGAACAACACCACTCTCAGTGGTGTCCATCCATCCCATCCCTTCCATCTCGGACCCGGGTCCAGTGCCGTGGCGAACCGCACCGTCCAAGGAGGTGATGCGCGGACAGCTGCTGTCGCGGGTGATCTCGCAACTCCGGGAGACGGCGATCCTCTTGCCCTACATCCGAGGGCCCTATGTGACGCCCGGCAGAGGGGAAGCTGAAAGGAACCTGCTGGGGCGAGGATTGGGGGAAGGAGCAGGGAAGGAGCAAACCACCGAGCCCATGACATGCGTGTGTTCTGAATGAGTAGAAACAGACTTTCTTGACTTTCTTAGCGTTCTTACCAGTGAAGTCGCTTGAAGATGAGGGTTGCATCTGCCCCCGAATATGGCCTAATTGATATTCCCTCTAGGGATCCTTGAAAGGGTCGAACCCTGCTGTTGACAGGCGTTTGGGGCCCCTCAAAACCCTTGTTTTGGAGTGTCCGGATCCTTAGTATGCTTTTTGTTAATGGTTTGTGGCTCCCCATGCCCGAGGTTTCCGAATCAGCAACGACCCATGCCAGGCTCTCGTTTGTGGCTCCCCATTCACCTGATTCCGCCTGATTCCTGAAAAAAAACAAGAAAACAGACTCAACCCTGGGGCTCCAACCACCTCTTGAGAAGGTGGTTGGGGTGGGTGCCAGGGGGGGTCTTCCCACCTTCTGAGAATATGGTTGGAGCTCCAGGGCAAAAATAGATCAGCTCGGATGAGTTTGAATTTGGTGTACCAGTCGCTCTCCTTCCTGTAACCAATTCTTTAGAAGGCCAGTGTTTGCACATCCAGGAAGGATGTGCCCAACGAGAAGTACATGCAGCTCTGGTGCAAGTGCGAGTTGAAGTATGGCACTCCGAGCGCTGCACGGGACCGATTGCAAGTGCTCTATGACAGCCAGGCGGCGTGAGATCGATCTTGGGATGTTTTCGATCCGATTCAGGGCGATGGGGGGGAGGTTGATGTTTTTTCGTTGGAGGGTTTTTAGAATCTAGAAGACATCTCAAGACAACATCTCAAGACATCTAGACATCTCAAGACATCTCAAGACATCTAGAAGATTCTATAGAATCACAGGGCGGCCCAACATCTCGTCAGGTAGAGGATTTGAAAGGTAGAGGATTTGAAGTGTCGAGGAACTGAGCACGAAATTTGGATGGCTCTTCAAAATAGCCCAGACCTGAGAACCAATCTAGGACCACCCTAGATATCCTAGGGCAAACCTTGTTCGGACCACTTCTGCATTGGAAACTCGTCAAACCATGTATCCTGATCCCGTGTTCATCCCCGCCATGCGTGCCTGCCGGGTGCAATGACCAGTTTGAAAGCCGAGACAAATCAAGCCATAGCTACTTCGAATAATGGAATCCACCAAATCATGGTGCAGTTGTGCCATGTGGATTTGTATCTTATCAGGGATACCCACAACCAATGGGTTTTGCGGCTTTGCTTCTTGTTATGTCCCGTGTTGGGACTCGCTGGAGTCCCCCAGCATATGTGTGAGGATCACCCGAAACAGGGTCCAACATTTGAGATGGGTGTGTAATAGGGAGATCCGAGATCCCCAACCAATGGGTTTTGGTCATTTCCCTTCTTCCAGGTTTTTTTTTTCACTGGGAGGTCTACCTAGTCCCAAAACTTGCCCGCCGTTCACCGATACCAGTCAAGCGATTTGAGCTAGTTCGACACTTCTTTGAAAAAGACTCCTGTGCCCCTGGCCTCCCCCGTGTGGCTGACTCCCGCCCGATTCTTGTGCTGGCGCTCATGTCCTCGTTTGCGTGGCGGAGAGAGTAAAGCAACAGCACATGCAGTTGGAGCCACCCTCCTTTGTAGTTGATAGATGGACACAGCAATTGAGCAGTCCAGATGGCTTGTGGATGATGAACAAGGCCGAAGAGATAAGGCCTATCAACTGCTTGCCAGCCCCTACCATCCACCCTTAGAGGAAGTGAAGGAGGTGACCGCATACATCGCAAGTCCGGATGGGCTGTGGCAGAGTGATCGTCAGAAAGCATTTGACAAGGCCGTGGAGGTTCTTGCAGGCCTGCATCCTCCAAACTTTGTTGAGTCCGTGAAGGCAAAGGCGAAAGAGCTAAAGTTCAGGCTTGGTCGGGAGAGGGCATTTCAAAAAGCCGCAATGCTCAGCTATGGTGGTGGCGGTTGCAACCATGGCGGCTACAACCATGGTGGCTACAACAACGGTGGCTACAACCGCGGTGGCTACAACCAGGGTGGCTACAATCAGGGCGGTTACAATGGTGGTTCTTATGGCCACCACAACCGCTGGTAGCGACAGGGAACTGCGGCTAAACGCCACCATAGACCAATGCACAGCATTCTCCACTGCAAGAGATCAAGGCCCTGAAAGCATCCCTTCGAGATGGCTTGTGGTTGAGTGATCGCCAGAAAGCCTTTGACAACACCCAGACACTCCATCGTATATTTACCTACATTGGGGTGGTTTGAGGGGTCAATGGGGCGGCATATATGACAGACATGGAGTGTTTGGGATATATACATATTTTTGCACACCCGCATCCTCCAAACTTTGTGGAGTCTGTGAAGGCGAGCAAGCGAGCGGGTTGAAGCTTGGTCGGCTTGCGCAAGGCTTGGCAGGCATTCCACAAAGCCAATTGAAGGCTCAGCTAGGCTAGAACCATTTGGAGATGTATTTTAATGAGGAGACCCCCAACCATTGGGTCTATTTTCCTTCTTCCAGGGAGGTCTCCCTATTTTTAATACAAACCCATTTCGGCTACAAGCAACAATCTGGGTACTCTGGCCACTGTGGCCGAAAGTCACTGCGAAAAGGAGGCGCCGCTGCTTGCCAAGCAACACGAGCCTTCATGTCCGGCATGTTTACCTACATTAGGGTGGTTTGCAGGGGTCAATGTGGGTCTAAAAACCTCCATATGTGGAGTGTGTAAGTACTGTGGATGGTGCCAAGCTTTGGCACATGGTGAGGCGGCTCAAAAACCTCGAAGCATCATCGCCAAGTTCCACAGACCTCGCAGGCTGTGCCAAGCCACTGTGATGACCAGTCATCTGCCCCGAGGGGAAACCGTTCTGCCTTTGTGCACTTCACAACCCTGGTTTTCCCGACCACTTTGTTTCCCTCTTCGAAACTCAAAGGTCCAAAGCCAACCCTTGGAAACCCTAAGCTTCTGTGATGGCTAGGGGTTTTCCATGGTTTTTCTTCTGTAGTCCCTAGCTGCCAAATCTGCTGACTTCCACTAGCTCCCGCCCCTCATAACCTCCCCCCCCAAAAAAACAAACAAACCGCAGGGTTCCATCCCCTTTTTGCGCGTTGTTCGGAGGACCCAGACGAGCACAGCGCTTGGAAGGAGTTGGTCCCTGAAATCCGGGAGCTGCAGATGCCCGGCGTCGAAAGGAAGGAGGTGGGGAAGTAGGTGAGTAGTGAGCCGAAGCCACTGGTGTTACCACATTGTGGGTGTTGAAAGGATGTTGACCCTGAAACTCCATGAAACTCCATGAAGCAATGAATCAGGAGCTTGGTCCTTCTTTCAGCTGCCTGAATGGTCTTGAAATCAAGTGGAATTGAGTGGAGCAACATGTGAGAACTTCAATGGTGGGAAGATGGGGCATGTGTCGTTCGAGTCCCTCCCGCTGAAGGACACGGATTCGCAGAGGTGGGGGAACAACAAGCACGGATTCGCAATCAACTTTGGATGAGGAATCGTCTGAGTTGTGGGCGTGCTGCTATCCGGTTACTTTGCTTCCTGTCCGTTTGCCTATATGTAACATGGTGAAAGGCCAGAGAAGAACTTAATTAAAACACACTTGCAAATATGGTGACCTTAGGTTCTCCATAAACCTTTTAGCTGGAGGCCAAACGAAGCCTTTGCCTCCTAACTGATTCAAGATGCCTCTCGCAACACAAGCCACTGCCGCGGACTCCATGTGGGCATTCCGACAACAGGAGCTCCTTCGCTGAGGAATCCCATGATGCACCGTACGTTACTGGGCATTGTGAAGATCATCCAGTTACTCAGTACCTTGCCGCAAGCGCAGCTTCCGGATTGGGGTGACAGGGCTGTGTGAAAAATGGTAAGCAGCTGCTGGCAGTCAGGATTGGGTTCAAGATACATGTGATGGGTGAGGATCATGCAAGAATGATTTGGAGCTATAGATCAATTTGTTTGTTGACTTGTTCTCACAGAATGTCCAGAGTGTTCATGGCTATCCTTCAAACCAAACAATCATGAATAAACATGACATAGAGACACATAGACGAGTAGAGTTCTACACTATTTAGCTGGAGTCTCAAGTTGTATAATTCAATTTACACTTAAAAAAGGCACAGGACCTGGTTGTACTGCACTTTATTTTGTTCAGGGGTCATGGTGGTCATTTTGAAGACAAGTAAGATGCTCAATGGTCGGTCATCCCATCGACCGACCGGAATCCACCTTCGACCGATGGGCATCGATTGGACCGCGCCGAACCGGGTGCATCTCAGGTGAGTTGGCCTTGGGCGAAGATAGTGAAGCCTTAAAGCCCGTCACGGACACCGCGACCGGTGGAACAGTCGTCCGGGATCACACGTTCTGTGTGATCCCCTTGATCCGTAACTCGGGTGGTTTGGGTGTGGACTGAGCGAGGTTCTTTTTTAGGAAGTAGAAAGCGATGTAGGGTTCATGTCGTCAGGCTGAAGCCGCCGCCCCATGTCAGGGTTTTGAGGTCATGTTGGTCTATAGAATTGATGTGTACGTCTTTTCTAGGTTGCTTTGGGTGGAGAGCGGCGGAGAGAGAGTCCCAGCTTCGGACTTGCACCGAGCAGTGAGCAGTTCGTTTGGACTTCCACCCATTCCAAGCGAACAACATACTTCTACGAATTCTCGCCACCATTGGACGAGCATCATGAAACCCAACTGGACGATGGCACCCAGGCACACCAACAAGCAGGGAAGAGGAACAGTTCTTGTAGAGCTGCTGAAACTCCACTGGATTGTTGCCAGAATCTTAGGACAGAGGGGGTGTTCTCAATGAAGCCTTACTTGATCAAAAATTGGTGCGAGACCATCATGAGTTGATGCTCAGCAGCTTTTAGTTTTGCCAGGGCCTCCAGTTACCACCATAGCTGGTAACCAGTGGTTCCAAAGACTAAAACCATAGACCTTGATGTGTTTTGATTTGTTTGTGACAACTGCTTGCCCAGTCATACCAATGATCGGTGCAAACAAACACGCTGGCGCATGTGTTTTCCTTTTTTTTTTGCTGGAAATTCTGCCTCTTCTTTGCTCCTACCTCTTCCCCGCTAGCCAGTTCGACTGCCAAATGGACACCCTTTAAAGTTGTGCCATGTGCCCCAAAACCAAACCACCGCCTATAGTCGTGTTCCCTCGGACACCAATCCCAAACTGCGCACCCTCCTCCGCCCTGGTTCCCGTACTCAGCGCTCCGCGTACGTACCGCGTACGTACCGCGTACGTACCGCGCGTCACGCTCAGCGGCTCGCGCCAGGACCTGTTGGACGCCAGCGGTCGCGAACGGCTGCTGATCGGCCCCACGACCGGCTTGGTGACCTGCCCCGACTTCGACGTGAGGAGCGGGACGCAGCGGGACGCGACCGTCCAGCTGGTAGCAGAGCTGCCAGGATCTTGGGATTTGATAGGTAAGTGTGTCACTCCATGGTTTCTGGATGTTTTTTGCTTGGAGGCTTCACCTTAACTGCTGGATAGATCCAAGTGTTTGTGAAGTTAGGATACCGCCAACCTCAAGCATCCAACGTGGCACCTCTACAAGGAAGCAGTCGTGAGGAATTTGGTCGTGTAGATCGATCAATCAGCAAGATGCCACTGGTGCAATATATATATATATACATGGGTCGTATGATCGTATGGGTGTTGGTAGGAACATACCTGCCAATCAAGATTCAGCATCCTGTGGAATACCTTAGCCTTGGCCTCAAGTAAAATGGAATGGATCGTGGCATGTATGGAATTGACATGTGAATATTCCTAGGACGCTCAATGGGACTGGCATATTGATCTACCTCCGGGTGTGTTTTTGTTCAACTGATCTTCCACAGTTGGGTCGATGTTTCAGTCCTGCACGAGGGCTTGCCTGCTAGTCCCATGATCGACACTCCCTGGAAGACCACATGGACCATGGAACACAGGCCCTGGAAGACCATTTTCCTCTACAAGGGGGGTCCTGTAAGAGTTATAAACGATCCAAACCGTGTGGTCTTCGTTTCCCTGCTTGCCCTGCTTTTTCTTGAGCACCAAAGAACCTGTCACCGTCACCGGCAGGGTGGAAAGCTTGAGATGTGTCCGACAAGTGCTGGTCTCGACTCCCGAGTACGAGCCTAAGGAGTAGCCAGCTGGTTGGATGAGGGTTGCAGGTATCGATCTTCCCCCTTAAGGGGAGCAGTTAGGAGCTACACCGGTGCCGGTTTGGGGGGCAGCAAGACAGACATGAAGTAGGCCGGATTAGATCAAACATGATCAAACCATTTTGTTGGATAGAATTCGAATGACTTCGATATAGTTAAACTAAAGGAACCAGGACAATGGAGCGGGTCAAGCGATTCAATTTTTATATTAATACATAGTAATTCTTGCAACTGCATGTACCGCAGATGCAAAATGGATGTTGACCATTGGAGAGTCTCAGCGCCCACATCGGGGGAAAAGGTCATCGGTGTGCCGGAGTGGAAACGCCCTGGTTGAGAAGATCATGTGGATGTATTTTAGAATAGATAGACTTTGAGTGCCAGTTGGCTCGATCTTGAGACACCTCCATGTTTCTGAACGCCGCCAAGGGATACATCTTTCCCCACTCTGAGTGTCCTGTACTCATTTTGTTGCTACTGTACCCCTCAGAACCCTGCCACCATCATCCTCCAAGCCCTCGAACCCCGAACAAGAAGCAGGGGCGTCATGTTGGGGGACGGGTTCAGCACCCCACGGTGAACCCGCACGGGTTCAGTTCCGAGGAGTTGATCTGATGTGTTGATGGATCCTGCATGAGGAAGTATCGACATCGCAGCTGACCACCCACCCTTTTGGAAACGGATAGTTCCAGTGGGGTGATGTCCATCATGCTCCTAGACTGCAAAAGGTACAATTAGCCATTCCAGCTATTCTAGTTGTCTTTAAGATATCCTTTAAGTATCTAAGTATCTAAGTAATCCAGTTGCTCCCTCCGAAACCTTTCACGGCCGTGTTCGGCTGAAAGGCAGTTCGACCTGGAAGAGATGGGTTGGCTCTTGAACTATCTCACGTCTGTAGGCTGGATCGGCTTTTCGCTTCCCCCGCGGGTGAGCTTGGTGAGCTTGGTTGGTTTTGTGGATGGGGGTGAGCTAACTTCTATTTTGGCACCCTGGGTGAAGAATAGAGGAAATAGGTTCCCGGTTCCTTAACCAAATCCAAGTTGAGGGACACGTTTGGTTGAATTCATTTCTTGTTTTCTCACACGAAGAAACAATTCAAATCTGGATTCAGAGACAAACGTGAGATGTGGAGATGACAAATCAAGCACATCATCTCAGTGCAGTCTTTGTATTATTATCCCTTCAAGGTTCTTTGTCCTGTTCCAAATTCTTGGGTGATATGAAGACCCATCGTCATGATGGCTGTCGTTATGACACAAACGTTGTCCCACGTTCGGTTGTTTGTGTCCCGTTCTGGGAATGGGTCGTGACCCACCTGGAGCCCTGCACTGGTCCTCCATCTAGCGAACGACCGAAGTCCACGTCGGTAGGTCGTGCCCGGTCGGTCTCCTGGTGCCATGACGATCCGCCGCAGTCACCAGCGCGGCACCCTTCGTCGTGAGGCATGGGCATCGGGAAACAGGGTCTCTTCCTCATGGAGGTGATCGAACTCATTAAGCAGCTGGGCATCGGGTGAGAAGGATGATGTGTTGGTCAAAAGAATATCATGGGAACTACATAGTTTTAGGATACAATGCAAGAAGAAACACAGGACATAACAACCGCTGTGCCATGGGGTTTGGATGTGTGGGGTAACTTTTGGTTCCCTGGGGTAACTCGTTGTGCCATTGGGGTGGGGTAGGTAATAGGTGTTGGGGTAAGAAACCGCTTCCGCTCGTAGGTACTGTATAGTGTACTGGGATGTGTACTGTAAAGTACTGTACATATTTCTTGGACAGGAGTTGGATTTGCGCATTGGTGCGGGATCCCATTGGTGTGATTCGTTTGATGTTTTTGTTGTTCTCTTTGGTGTGGACAGCAAGTTTGCAGACAACATTTGATTCAGATTACTGTGATTGACCCCTTTCAGTTCTGAGCCTTTCACTTTGACACTCTACTAGACGTGGCATTTAACATCTGGCTGAACATGTGGAGTCCACATCCCTCCCACATCCCTTCTGCTTCCGCCTGCGAATGCTGCGGAGTCTTGCACCTCGGGTCGGGCGCGAGCTTAACGTGATCGCCGGAAGCGGTTGCGCCGCGCGCGTGGACCGAGGATGTTTGTGCGGAACCCCTCCAACACCGGGCAGAGCTTCCGCGCGAAGTTTGCCAAGCTGCTCGGAACCGTTGCGGAAGGGAACTGGAACGACATGGCGTGTTTTCTTGTTGATTGGAATGAGTTGGCTTGCTGTAAAGGTGGGTAATTACCTGTTTTTGGGGGAGTGTTTTCTTGTGGTTTAGTGGAATATGTTAAATTATGTTACATTACTTGTTTCATCAGTCTCATGAGTGTTGTCTTTGGCGGGTGCGGAAGAAACACAGCCCTTCTTTTAGACACAGAAAAGCGGGTCCCTGGCACGGCCCACGGAATAAAGAATCACTCCCACTCACGGCCACATGGAGCCCCTTCGTGCGCCCCTTCTCATCGTTTAAGAATACTGGGCCGCTGGCAGGGCTGCCCTGCATAGATATAGATGAATCCTTTTGGCTAAGAGTTTGGCTGACCGAACGTGAAGGGGGGTTACCATAGTTCATAGTTCGCTGGCTGGACATGGCTCCAAAGTTCACTTGGAAGAACCAGCGGGGAAAGCCACAGACACGTGTTGGTGACACATGTTTGTGATAGACAGTCCTGATATGTTCTGATCAAATCTGGTCAATGAGTATTAGACTCGCAGGATTGAACCTCACTTGGAATAAAGGAAGGAATACGTCCAGTATCATCTGGTGTTGAAGATGGCCGTATTATCAGCCCATCCAGGCCCCTTGTCAAAATTTGTAACAACACAGATGTCTAGCATGTTCTCCACGCTAGGAGCGCTGAAGTCATTATTTTTTCTGGTTGTGCCAGGCCCTCCTTTGTTTGGACCTGGCTACTACGTCCGGGATTCGCTGCGGTTTCAGAGCTCCCAGAGCTGCCGAGGTATGCGATTCGCGAGAGCTTCGAGATGTTGACGGTGAACAGCCGTCGCGAGACGCACAACCAAGAGGCGCAGATGCGAAGGGGGGAGGGGGGGAGGGTGGAAAGGTGTGGGGTCTGAGGTGTGGCTTTGGAAAGGGAGACGTGCAGAAGAACTGAAGGTACTTGCTCAAAAGAGTCTTACACTATTGATTCTATTCTATTCATACTGGCAGGAGGAAGAGTATACTGCACACATCTGCACACATGAGAAGTACACATACTGTAAATTCTCGAGTTCCGGACGAGTCACCAAAGCCATGTGGATGTTCTTATCGCCCGACCGCCGACCGCCGAAAGAGGCGTCGTCCGTCGTCGGAACGTCCCGCTTTCGGGAAGGAGACGAAGGCGAAGGCTGCGTTGACGGAGAAGATCGTCGAGCTGCTCATGGATTGTTCCAGGTGAATTCGCAAAAATGATTGAACGGCCAACGCCCGGGCAGACATCCGACTTGGGCCGAATTGAATTCTAGTGCACACAAGGAGCTTTTGGTATCTTTTTCCGGGGGCTATATAGGGATAATCCATCCCAACTTACTTCTGCAGAAGGATGTCTGTTTCGGCCTAAGAGTCCGGGACAGGAACCGGTCACCTATCATCCTGCTTTTGGGGTCCAACACACATTGGAAGCGGAAAAGACGGCTCCTGGAACTTCATGGTTCCTTGACTTTGTAAGGGGCCTTCTGCACTTCCATGTTACAGGGATCAACTGCTTGGCAGTGATTAGATGGCATGGACTAGGAAGCATGGCCTCAAGCTACCACCACGACGGTAGCCAGTGGGTGGCCCCCAGATGCAAAGACCAACTTCATACCCATGGAACTATCAGATGTTACTGCACAATCTGGATTCATCACCCCCCATTTGGATTAAATTCTTGACCAATGGTCCAAAAGGGTCGCTCCAAATGGGCTTCGGCTTCGCCCGCGAAGCACAGGCTTCGGCCCTCCTGTGCTTCTGCTCGGTTGCGGCGACTCCACGTCGGACGACTCACGGCCGAGGCCTTTGTCCGGTGGCCTTCGAAAATTCCTGCGCCGGGTGGATCTCATGGAGACGATCCGTAAGGCGAGGAGAGGTTTTCCTCAAGATAGCTCGGGTTTGTTGCAGGGAGCTATGTTTTTTCTGCTGGCAGGCTTGGAAAAAAAGGATAGAATGAGATATAACTCAGGTCGGTTGGAAGAAAAGTGGGAGGAATTTGAGAGGTTTTTGGTTATAGAATATAGAGACAGAATGATCTGCGTCGATGTGTTTCTTTGACTTTCGGCTTCAGTCCAGCTTCCTAGGAGATGGATGGGATGAAATGAACATGGGGCAAATAAGGCCCAGGGTTCCCACACATAAACCAGTCATTCCTGACCAACCCGAAGACCCACCAGGCATGGTCAGTGGACAGCCCTCTTGTTTGTTGCGCTTTATTTTTCAGGGGCGATGAATAGACGCCCTGTTTTTCAGGGGGCACTGGTATAACACAATAATAATAATAATATAAGTATACAATATACACACCGTGTATAATTAGTATTTAGTGCTGTTTTTTTCTTGAGACTTACGAAGTTTTGATCCACTGCCAGATGTCTTGACTGACCAACCGATTGGAGGGTGGTAGTACCTGGTCCCACCTCTGGCGATCGCAGGTACTTCAGCTGGAGGAGAGCGCGGATTGGATGGGTGGCTCTCATGGGGTCGGACATCCATGATCATGAACCCATGCCAGACACGACTAATGGGACTGGAAGAGATTCCCTGATCAGGCCAGGGGTGGTGGTTTTGGGGGGGTCTGAATGGGGCGGCAGTCCTATGGCAGTCCCATTAGTTGTGTCTGGGCATGTAGTATCATCCGTATCACTTGCAAAGACTGGCCGGTGGCGAGTTTCTAGGGATGCGACCCTTTGGTTTTGAGCATTGCCCTTTTTGGAAATGCACTGGCCAAAGGAAACAGTCGGGAGCTATTCAATTTAGTGATTGAGAGAAAGAAGGAACTGTTCATCTATATGTTATACATATATATATATATATATGAGAAACGATTCATAAAATGTGTCAGAATAAACCCGAGACAATTCACAGACATGGTCTCAGACATGATTACATGCAAAGAACCCCTCTCAGGTCTAGCTGACCTTTTGGGAAGTTTGGAATCGAATGAGTTATACCTATATATATATATAGCTCCAAGTTGGTCAGACTTGCAGCCAATGGAGCACATAGAACACAGACATGACCTTTGTTTTGCTGGGAAAGAATGAAGACATGAAAAGACCATGTTGTGCTCAAAATCAGGGGTCACTCAGCTTCTATAGGTATAGATACCTCCAGAGATCTCTACAAATGATGGAGCAAATCATGGCCAATCACCTCACATCCGCATGCACATCCTCACCCTTACCCTCACCCTCACCCTCACCCCCTCCCTCGCTCTCTCTCTCTCTCTCTTCACCATGGCGCCAGGAACGTGGAGGGGCTCCGGGCGCCCTGCGCGTCCTTCAGACCTGGACGGGCCGTGACATCCGTCAGGCGCGCGCTTCGTGGCGCTTGCCGCGTCGCTTCTCGGTCTTCGCGGTCTTCGCGGTGCGGAGCGAGGTCTTGGGACGGTGTGGACGTCTAGAGTTCGTGTTTTTTTTGCGTTTTGGAGGGGGTCCTTGGGGGTCATAAATCTTCCATATATAATCAATATTATATATATATTGTTTTTCACCGTTTTTGGAGCTGTTTTCCAACTCCTCGTGAATTTGAATTGATCTGGTGATCTTGTCTCAGGCACTAATCTTGAATGGGTGAAGAACTGCAACCCCCCTGCAACCCCGCGGCGCTTGTTTTCGCCAAACTTAATACTGATTGCAGGAGAATTTCTAGTATAAAGGCTTCCATGGTGACAAGAAGTCACCTCTCGATAATCCTAGAATCCTAAATTGACACCCCTGCCTTCCCTGGGCTATTTCAATAAAGCTCCCATCTTCCCATCCTCCTCCACCGAACTGCCTCGAAAAGGGCTCCGGTCCCGGCGATGGCTGGGCGCAGGTGCTGTTGCCCATCATCACTTCGCCTCTCTTCCACGTGCATGGCGACGTGGTGCACATGGCACTCATCCGCCTGGCAGACGTGCTACAGGCGGGAGATGTGGTGCGAAGCTACAGGCGGAGAGACATCGGTGGAAGCTTGGACGACACAGCCGCCTTGATCTGTCAGGTTCCAGGTGGCTCCGTTGATCACAGAGTGGGCCGGGGGTGAAGATGTTGAAGGTCATGGTGAGTCAGGAGATTGAATTCAATTCATCAGATAACACACACAAACACACATTTAGACACTCTTTTTTTATGTATAATATGGTGATAAGTGCGAAGAGTGAAGAACAGTGAGATGCCACACAGATCTCGTGATGCCAAACATGCAAGGTCCTTGTGGGTTACATCCAGACCTCAGCTGTTCGAGCTTTGTTCATTCAGTTGTTGGAATTGATCCCATCTCTTGGAATTGATTGATCCCATCTCTTCGAATTGATGAATTGGGGCAAAAAGTCACGCACTGTCTTTCGATGCATTTCAATCCTCAGCACTTGGCCCTTCAACATTGGAATCCGATGATTAGATATGGTCTATCCAGATGAAAGAAGAAAAGACTAGTGACTATAAGATGACTCCTAAGTCACAGAGCGCTGAGCTGGTGGGATCTGGTAGGTGTGGGCAGTGGGGGTTCTCCTCTTCAATCCACAGTGCTGGGCTCCCAAGATCTCCCGAGGTTCACATCAATTTCACATCCTTCTTCATCCATGGTTGATCCTGCACATGGTCCTCAGAAGGGACAGGTTGATCCCCAAGATGGACACCTGGGGTCCAGAATGTTCACTTTTCGTGCTACAGAATGGCATACACAACTTCACCCCTTGAATTCGGATCCATTTGGTTCGCATCGGCTGACGTGGAATGCCATGACATCCACCGCCATGCGATGCAGGGCCGGCCAGACTACCAGCGGAGCGATATTTTCCAGGAGCCCCAGTGACCTGCTTCGAAGAGCACAAAACCAAACCGGTCGTCCCAAGGAAGAGATCAGCGGCCAAAACACTTCTATAGTGGAGTCCAACTCCCCGGGTGAAAGTCCTCGTTTTCAGGCAACCGGCTTAGTGCTCCAGAACATACTGCCCCGGTTCCATGCGGTTGGTGTTGCGGAAAAGGGTTCGATGTATCTTCTGCAAATGTTTATCTAATTCTTACAAATCTATGCCACCCCTGTCTTGAAAACGGCGAATCCCCGAGCCTGGGCCGAATCCCCGAGCCTGGGGGAATATGACATATTGTGTGATGTTTTTTCTCGGGTCGCACATCCGGAGATTAGTAAAGCCGTAACAGTAACAGTTGGTAAAAGACGATCAACACTTTTTGGATAAAGGCCTTGACTAAAAAGTCATCATCCATGGTTACTGGAAATGGGATATATCGAATGAATATCAATGAATTGTATTGATATACTCGAGTGATGTGAGTTCGCAGAGATTCAGCCTTTAAACGGGCTGGATCCGGTCAGGATGTCGTTCACCCCTCAGTGACCCCAGTGATCACATAGGGGAACCCCTGTTCGAGGTTCCAATTGGTGACATCAAGAATGACCGGTTATAAAAGGTGCCAACACCCAACACCCACATGTTCATGGGATTTCGTCCAAGAGGTGCAGCATGTCAAATTGAGCCGACAGTGATCATGCGTCTGAAGATGATGACATGCCGACTTCACTGCTTGGATCACCCAAAGACTCACCTGAAGACTGCCCCTGAATTATATAACAAATTAACGATTCAATCATCTATTAATATCTATTATATGACAAATTTAAAGATTCAATCATCTATTAATATCTATATGATATGTTAATATATTAATATAGTTATTAATATCTATTGTGTAAAAAACATTTTTCTCAAGAGTACAAATAACGAAGAGTTTATTAACATATATATATGTCGTACTTGCTTAATTGGATGCTTCACTTTCACCGCCTGTCTCGCCTGTCTCGCCAGGAGCTGCCCCCCAGCGATGAGAGAAGACCTTGGTTGGGAGCAGACAGTCTTCATAGGCCGGTGGGCCGGTGTGTGTTGGCGGCGTGTGGGGGTAAGGAGGGATCTGATCTGAGGGAACTGATCTGAGTAGCTTTGGATGAGTAGCTTTGGGAGTTTTTCCGAGGTCAGAGAGGATACCCAATGAACACATACGAGATCATACCAGCACTCGAATCCGAATTGAACACTTGAATGCGATAGATTCCTTGAGACTTGGCCGTCCAACTGCATTTGCCACACATATGGTTTTGTCCGGCCACTATTGTAGAATCTTGATTATACAATAGCATAACCCACATGAAGCGGTTTTACAATCCATGTTCGGGGGGGTTCTGCAGTGCGTTTCCAGCCTTGCTCTCCGCCTTTTTTCACGGCCGATGGTGCACGGTTTATCCTTCGATCGGTCGAAGGACTTGACCTCGCATTGATGACCTGACGGTTTTTAGAGGTTCGATGGCTCAGACCCCTAGATGTCTTAGAAAAATCACTTTTCACGAGTAGATGGTGATTGCCCCAAGTTGGTGTGTCTCTAAATCACCCAACTTGGGGATTGTCTCATCTACTCTGAAACCATGGATTTCACCCCGTGAAAGAATCGGTGGAAGATGGTGGAAGTGGCTTTTCCGTGGCTGTCTTTTTTTTTCTGATCCGATGAGATGACGGCGGTGAACGGCACAGATCCGATGATTTGAGGGATTTGGATTTTGGAGACATGATATGAAACCATCGATGAGACATGATGTTCGTATGATTTTTTGGTGGAACATGTTTCCATATGAATCCATATGATGTTAAAAAACCCAACACCACCTTTTGTAACGTATCGAAAGCTCGTCCATTGTTATATATATATATACACTATATATACACATAAATATATACATAATATATACTATAATATCGTTATTATATAAAATGCGTGATATACACATCTCCATTCAAAACGAAAATATCCTCTGGTCCTCCTTCTGCTTCGGTTCCACAGGGGTTCACATCAGGAGAAACACCAGAGGAGAAACGGCTGCGCAGCCTGTGCAAGCCTTCTTTCTTAGTTTATTTATGTGCAATGTTTTTCTCAGTATTACTATATATATATAGAACATATAAGTATGTGTATTGTATAATTGCGCATATTATAAACATACCAGGATCTTTCAAGCATGCGTATTTTCCGCCCGCTGTCCTACCTTTCGTGTATCCCTCTTCTCAAGTTATATACATACCAGGATCTTTCAAGACCTACTCTTGGCCCAACCTTCCCGCCACCAACGGGACCCCAACCTCAACCCGCCGCCAGGACGGTGAGTGATGGTCTGGACACTGTGGAGATGGACGATTCGCAGGAGACATGGATGGTTCGTCGGAGAAGAGACCGCTTTCGCTTGAAAAAGCTGCAGGAACCAGGAAGATGACGATTTTTGGATCCAGCTGCCGGATCCAAATTCTTGCAGGGGATCGTTGTTCAGTGGCTTTTTGGGAATCAATTCTTTGGAACCCCCCAGACGGACTCATGCAAGTTGCTACTGGGGTTCGCACCTGAGGACTCTTCCGCTGCCGAATCTGACGTGTTCCCACCTGTTCAACTGTTCAACGAACGCAGCGGGGAGGTTGAAGGACCTCCAGAAAAGGTATGAACGCAGCAGAATGGGTCAGAGAAGCCTCCAAAGAGAACACTAATCCCTGCAACACCATCACAGTCATGTACAGTAATTTGGTCATATGTGAGATACGGTTGATAGTGGGTATTCAACAAATTCTCATCATGAAGAGGTTTCACAATCCATGTTTGGGGAGGGGGACCTTATATGTTCTTTTCCACCTCACCGCTTGGAGCGTCGCATCACAGAGATTATGGGATCCGGCACGGTGTTGTTCCAAAACACCGGTTCTCGTTCGTCCCTTTGGTGAAACACATGCCCGCCGTTTTTGGGTTTGTTTGTGGCTGAAGTGCCGGCTCTGCTCGTTGAAGTGGAATGAAACCATTCTGCCACACCGCATGGTTGAGTGGGAAGATATTTCATCTTAGGCTTGAAGAGATAAAGACGTGTCATGCCTTTGGGTGTGGGATGCCCTTTTGTGTGTGTGTGTGTTGCGATTTTGCATTTTGACTGGACCTCCCCTGGAGGTTAAGCAGAAGAGATTCAGAATGGATTCTGGATGGTTCTTGGAGGCGTATATATATATGTGATATGTATACATACACTCTACATTATAATGGTACTGTATATGATATGTATAACAATATTATGCTGCATATTGATTCTCTAAACATGTTGGAGTGGCTTTGTCTAGCTTGGCCAAGGATCCATGTTATTTCATTCAAAATGAAGACGTCATTCGATTTGAAACTCGCCTATGCAGCCGTGTTTCCAGCCGAGCAACAAACGTCTCCTTGGAATACGCGGAAACGAGAGGAGAGGCCACAGCACCCATTCGTCGCAGGTGCTGTGAATATTGTATGAAGATGCACCTACGAACACTACAGATTACTGCAGTACGGCTACTGCAACCATACATTTAGTATCATTAAGTGATTTGGTGTATTTTCGTGGTCTATGTGCATGCAGCTGGCCCCTTGCCTACTTGTGATCCCGGTGTGGTCCAAGACTTCCACAGGAACAGCATGAGTACTTCGTGAACAGCCGCGGCCTGGAACCTTTGCCAGGGACACCCAGCGAGGGGGGACACCCAGCAGTTTCCGCAGGGGAGCGGAGGAGGTGGGTGTGTAGCTCAAGACATGGGAGACTGGTAGGTCATCCTGGTAGGTCATCCTGGTGTTCAGCAAGTTGGACAAGCCATGTTCGGTTTTTTGTGTGCATTTGTGTGCAGAAGCCATCAGATCTATCATCAATTCTGTCAGTTTTGGTTTTGAGACAAATCACTGCTTGCCTGTGGTATTGCAGTTGTTCAATAATTGGTGAGTTTTTGTCAAGATGTGTCACGAACAGAACGCGACGTAGTTACTTTCAACATGTCCGATGTTCAGGTCAGTACATCATCCTTCCAGTTGGCCCCTAAAGTTTGTAGGGAGCAAGTCCTAAGACATCCGACTCTGGCTGCTAGTGACTGAATTGGGGGTCCTAGATTATCCAAAAGCTCGCTTCTTTTCCATCCACCACTTTTGCGCCCTAAATCTCACCCAGCCGGAATTTCACACTTCCTAAGCATCGGGCACGCTCTTCATCTCCCAAGAACCCGTGGGACGCTGGAGCTGGACGGGGAAACGGCAGCGATGCAGCTCAAGGCTAGACTTCGTGGGACGCTTCTTCGCGGCCAACGAGGAGCTGAATCTCACGCTGCTGAAGTGCCAGGACGACGCCCGACACGACACCCGACCTGACACAGGGGGCACCGTCCATACCGTTCGGGCACGGTGGGCTGGGGTGAAGGACCGTGCCACGATTCGTCCAAATCCGGGATCAACCGTTCGTATACCACGCTTCATTTGTGGTTTCTTTTGGACACTGGTAAGCTGAATTGATGTTTCCGGGTCAACTGGATGTGGGCTGGGTCATGGTCCCTTGTATTCATGGCTTGGTTCGGTAATTTGGTTCCGAATCCCTGAGACTCATGTGTTTTAGTACAGCACTCAGGCTCAGAGACAACAAAACTGGTCTAAATATGTCTAAATGACCAACATGACTCACATAGGGATGCGGCCAGTGCACACTCCAAGCGACACTTCTTGAATCTTCTTGACATGTTTTGAGCAAACCTCAACGGAAGCGGAAGAAAACAACACAAAACTCTCTCTCGCCGGAAAAAAGCTGATTGGCCTGATGCTCTTCCGCCAGGCGGTAAGAAAGAAACACCTCTCACAGAATCAACTCACCCGGTCGCAGCAACATTCGGAGGTTTTTCAGGCACCAGGAGCCGTCGCCGGAGTCGGAAGAACCCTCCACTGCGGCCGCTCCCGGACCGGTCACCCGGTCGGAGCCCTCGGGCTCGGTCTCCGTGCTTTCGGACGACACGAGGGCACCACCGTTCCGTCAGGTCGCCATGGACTCGAAACCGACCGAAAGAAACGGGATCTGGGCGGAGGTGGCGTTATGCGTTTGGCGCTTGGCGTGGTTTCTGTTCGGCCGAACTCAAACACACGTTGGACCTGACTTCTGGACAGGTCGAGGTCTGGGGACTGGTCGGACTCGCCAGGGCTCAGTGGACTGGAAGGAACCAACACGCGGATGTTTTTGGTTCGGACCGAGGAGGTGTTGTGTGAAATTGAAAGGGATCTGCAAGGCACCTCAGAAAGAGACCGGGAGGTGTTGTGTGAGACCCTCCAAACTCATCTGGAAGATTCTCCAATCACGTTCTTGAGCTTTGTCGTCAGCTGTTACAGGAGGATGTGGCCAATGAGTTGGAAGAGAAAGACAGGACGAAATCCAGACATTCCTTGTGTGGGCGAGCTCCGCGTTCTGTGCCATCCAACCCAGCATGAGGTAGAAATCTGATTGGCTGAGTGCTGTGTATATCCCTAGATGTCTCGGTCATGGTTGGGGTTGGTTTGGGGTGTCACACGGGGTCCAAACACCTTCTGAGGATATTGGCCAGGAGCCCACGGGATTTTCAGATATTTTCTGGGGGACATTTGGGGGACTCAGTCCAACAGGTGGCTGCCGAGAGGATGAGACCTGGTCGCTTCTGGATGAGACCTGTTGGATCTTCTTTGGGTGGTAGGTGTCGCAGGTGCCTTCTCAACTTACGATGCTCTCTTCAGGAACAGGCCGGCACGTGCAGACGCACCACGTGCAAACCACCAAGGCGGCCTTTTCATGCTCCACTTTGGGCAACAAACGTTCCAAGTAGGTGGTGGATTGGCTCAAATCCCAAGTAGGTGGTGGATTGGCCAGACATGTGGGATCTGGACTGATGTCCACCACTTCCTCGAAGAACCCGACCTTAAGATCTTAAGCGACAGGGAGAGAACGCCGGATGTCGGCAGGGAGGAGGTGTCCGCAGTGTGTAGTATGGGCCTTGGAACATGTTTGTACTATAGGTGCACCTGCTTCAGCACTGTTTAGGATGCTCTTTTCCAGCTTCATGTAGACTCTTGAGTACACTGAGAGTAATAACGCCCCCCGGTACGCCCCCCATATGAATGAGGTTTACACTCCGCATGGCAGGGTTGTATTATGTTTATGAATCAAGAGTCTAGATATGATTGAAACTCTGATGGAACCGGGAAATTGGTAGGAACAAGAAGCTACTAGGGGCTCGTGGCATCGCTACTAGGAACAAGAAGCTACTAGGAGCTCCTGGCCTTACTACTAGGAGCAAGGACGCTACTAGGGTCCAACACACTCCGCCAGTGTTCCGCTTTTTCCCGCTCGATCCGAAGAGGAAGCTGCGCAATGCGTGGGATGAGCACGAGACGGATGTACGAGGGACTGCCACTGGGGTGCGGGGTGACGAGGACGATCAATCAATGCCGCTTGGGAGTGCAAGAGATTGATGGGTGCGGTCACTTCTATAGGTACTGGAAGTCATCGTGAGTGGTAGCAGTGGTACTCGTAGTCGTGGGTTTATAGTAACATTAACATTGATGAACTATAACTATAGCAGCAAGAGTACGACGTTCCCGTACGTTCGGCGAAGGTGGAATCAGTCGTTGCTTGGATCGTTGGATCCTTCCGGAGAGCCGCACACGAGGGTCGCATGAGGGGCACGAGAGGTGGAGGTAACCGGGGGAGATCTCCTACACCATCTCAGCTCTGCGATCCTTCGGTCCGCTAAATCTCAGGTGAGGCGAAAGGATTGAACCGCAAGACATGGATACAGAATGATACTACCTTAGTGCTTCCAAGGGGTGCCCAATGGAGACCTGTTTACGTAGGGTAGGGTAGTCTATTGGACACCCATTGGATGGCCCTGGTAGATGATAGGTGTATTTAGTATGCGTAAAAGACAGAATGATGTTTGCGGAACTGCAGCCTTCGGCTGGCCGACCTGCATTGCACATGTTGAACTTTGTGGGTTGATGGAGAGAAAGTACCCCAGTCCTTTTCACAGGAATTGAATCGGAACAGCATCCTGTGGTAACTAGAGAACAGTGCCTAGACACTCCATGTACGGAAGAAGAACACCTGCATGGACCTCAGGTCAAGCACCTCAGCTGATCGGCGAAATATGCCAGTCTCGGTGGGCTCGCGTGTGTCGTACCTCGCGCCACCGGCTCCTAAGGGCTGAAGTGGTTCAGGACCGGGCGAGCAGCGAGCAGGGCTGCTTTGGGACCCAGTCCTAACCAGAAACAATATGGATGTTTCCTCAGCCCCCACTTCCGATATTGTATATAAGTCAATTGAAGTAATATACAGTGGATTGAGAGTAGATGGCACAATCACCAAAAGGTGGTATATATATATATATATGGATCCCCATCTAAAAGACGGTTTGTGCCATCTACTCAGAAAATACTGTAAAGTAGTAAAGACGTATTATATAGGATCTCACTTGCCATAAACCGTTTCTGGTTGGGAAGGGGTGAAACCAGCTTTGACACCTTTGTTCGCTCCGAATCTTCTGTACGTCGCCCGAGCCGGTCAGCACGTCGACCTGGGGAGCCCCGAAGGACGACACATTTTCCGGATATGCTTCTTCCACATGTTTGTGAAACTCCAACAACCATTTGTTTTCCTAAGGATTTTACTCATTTTTACTCTGGTCAACCATGTTTTGGGTCTTGGAAGGCTAGGGAGCCCCCCAGGCTGCACTAAAGGCCACGGTTCGGCTCCCGGTTTGCATCGATGGTCCGTCTCTCCCTTGCTGCATCGTGTTGCACTTGCCTCACTTACGGAGAGCATCCATGGCACTGGAAGAGTTGCTGGCATAAATAGGGTCAGTCGTTCCGGTCGGTCGGATGCATGTAACATCATGTAACTCTTCCATGACATGGTTTTGGGCGCTGGGTCTTGGTGGTTTTCACATCGGTTCCTGCCGCCGAACGACCCACCGAACAGTTCCCGCATGGCCCCCCGCCGTGCCACGGCGGCCGTGCCGTGCCGCGCTCCCGTTCGACCCGAAGACGAGGAGTGCATCGCGGCGCGACTACGACATCTGAACGGCACCGGGGCAGTGGAGCACTTCCGGCGGAACCTGAACCACTACGACGAGAACAAGGGGGAGCGAGGGAGGGAGGGAAACCGGGAGATGATGATCAGTTACTCATCAGGTTTTTGAGCTTTTGTATGCTTTTGTCACATCAACTCAAGCAATGAGGTGTGCACTCTTTGGTGTTTTGGGGAAGTTCTTCTTCCACTTCTGTTTGGCCAGGAGTTCTCTCTGACCAAGTTGGCCAAGGTGTACCAGAACTATTGGAAGGAGAATGAGAACCGGATGAACGTCGAGGTGCAGAGAAGTTGCATGAGAAACTAGACATCCGACGAATGTGGCAGCTCTGAGCGGCGGGTCCCACAATGGGTGTGTACTCGTAGCTCAAATAGGGAGAAACTCCCAGTTCAACCACCTCGAAGACGAAGGGAACTAGAACAGTCTACCCATTGGTTGTGTGTCTCTCTCAATGGAAAACAAACACATTAAAACATACTAAAACAACACACCCACTTGTCCATGGAAGGTACAAGAGCGCCCAGATGCCATCTATCAGCTGTTGCGGGTGCCAGAGAAGATTTGCATCGATCATGAGCTGAAGGATTTGCAGGACTTCTGGCGGGAAGAACGCAGAAGATGTTAGGGTCACGAGATGTGAGGAGTGATGTCTTGAATTTTGGGTTCTCAATGGGTCTTAGAAAGAACTATAAAAAACTTACCGCTTCGCACCTTTGGATGTGTTTATTTCGACCCTCCTGTCCCCCGCATTCGGGTCATCCTGTCCACGTCATTTCGACCTGTCCCCGTCGGTCTGCAGTCGATGTGGAAGGGAGCGGTCCCGCCATCACCTGGTGAAACGCCCGTTTACCACACCGGTGTGGTCCCGCCATGGGTGGGACATGAGAGGACATGCCAGGCATCCTGAATCCAAAAGCGATCCCAATGGAAACGCAGCAAGCTGCGGAGGTGGAAACTGAGAGATCCCAAGGTCTGAGAGTATGGCAGGTATGACTACTTGGCTGGTCAGCCGGTAGGATGTAGACTGTTGGTTAGCACCCGTTCGGATGTTGAAACGTGTTCATGCATGGGAGGGAATAATGTATGTTGTTTGTTTATATTTATAATCAACAGTCTACGTTAGGTGGATGTTGATCAACAAAATGGCTGATGCGACATGGAGAAGTCCTGATACTCTCTCATCGGAAAGAAATTAAACGGAGCATCCTCCGCTGTGAAGAAAACACCAGTCTCATCCGGTCGAGAATGTCCACCGTTTTGCATCGCCTGCATCGCCCTCATCGCCCATGTCGCTGTGCATGAACTCTTCGAGCGGAGTTTCATGTTTGTGGAGGTTTGTATTCACAAATACCATTCAGACCAGTCGAACAGTCTACTGACAGTGGAGGTTCACCTTCAAAGAGAATGAATATGAAGATAGACGAAGCTTTTAACTAAGTTCGTTCGACCATTTGACCCGGATTTGATGCTGCAGGAGCTGGAGAAGACGCTCAACAAGAGATGATGGGCAGATGGGGGAGATGGATTTTATCTATAACAGTGTATACATGTAGACACATGCTATACTCAAGTTAGGGCACACACCACAAACCCTTATACACAAACCATCACAAACCTTGGAGAACCACACAATCAAGCACCAAACGGGAGATGTACCAAGATTTGGAGATGTATGTGCCAGTGACATCGCGTGACGGTTGAGCATCCCAAGTGGTCGGTCAAACTCAGCGAAGGGAGTCGTCCAAAAAGAATGTCAGCCAGTAGTGGATCCCAGTTACCACTACTATAATAGTCTACAATCATTTATATTTAAGGAATCAAGGTTTCGTTTGGTCGATGGTTTTTGGCTTTGGAACCACTGCTTACCAGCTATAGTGGTTTGCCTGGATCCCCTGGGTACAGACAGTATTTACATGCTGAAGTACATATTTGCAGACCAGGGGTTGTCTTAGTCAAAGTTTGCAGAAACACCAAAGCGACGTGTAATACACCAATACGACGTGCAGTGCGAACGCGTACATCCAAATGATAGGTCGTCAGTAGTCCAAACCACTATCAAAGGAAGATTCCTCTTCCATTCGCTTGAAATGGTCGAATCTCCTACGCCTAGTCATACCGCCAAGATGTTCAATGTTCTCCAAGGAGCTCTTCTACCATGGTTTTAGATTCGCCTAAATTGCACACATTATAAAACATTCATCACTCTCGCATAGTGCAATGCATCAACCCTTTTTGTGACACATCCTGGTCCAAGCGGTCCCCAACTAGTGGTTCCTCGATTTTCTTCATCCACTCAGGGTCCCCAAGAAGCACCAGCGACTACGGCAGCCTCACCGGGACTTTGATCGTCTTCAAATGCAATCCAAAGATGCGCATCTCGTCCAGAAGAGATCGTTTGGCGCACTTGGTGCACGGTGGATTCAGAGGTTCGATGGGCACCCCTACATATCTTAGACAGATGGGGGTCCACGGATTGTGCCATCTACTCTAAAACCAGTGTAAGACTTTTTGGGGATAGAACAACTCTATCTCTAAAACCAGTGTATCTACATACACTGGTTTTTTGAGTTTCAAGATTCAAGAGTCTGTCTACAGAGTTGTTTTTTTTCGCCGGTTTCCAGGGCCCGTCGGGCCGTGCCAAAAGTGCGATGTTCGAGCAGGCACACCATCTTGAAGACGATGCTGTGCGACGGTGCGATGCGAGAGCAGCCCGAGGTCGCCAGGTGGGACCGTGTCAGTCACGTCAGTGGGATTTGAAGGCAGTGGGTTCTAGAAGAAAGAAGTAGTATACTATATTACTATATATATATATATAGACACAAGAAATGATGAGAATTCATGATAATGCATGTATTCAGTGTATAAAATTTAAGATACATGACCACGCTTGTGATTTTGGAGGTGTTCCATGCGGCAAAATTCTACTTGATGAACTCCTGTGCTGGCGGTCCCCAGTGGAAAACCGATCCTTCCACGACCTACATGTTGGGTATTGCCCGGAAAGCAATATGCTGAGGGGGTTTGACAGGTTCTTTTTTTTTTTGTTTTTACCTCTTGGGCCACTCAACTCTCCAAGACGATGACTTGAGCGACTTGAGTGGATTTCAAGACATCATCATCAGCTCATCCTATGCATCATGCCCGTAACGCATCAGCGCATCGCCCGCATCATAACGCATCAGCGCATCATTCACATAATGCTCGTAATGCACCAAGAATCAGTTCATCATCATCATCATCATCATCATCAGCAGCAGCATCATCATCATCATTATCATCAGCGAAGCGAATCATCTGCATCCCGCCAGACCATGTCGGTTCATCGGAAAGGTTGCCTTTGTCGGGCTTCTTCACCCTTCTTTCAACCCAACATGTTGGCCTCTTTCTTTCAATTGGGCGAAGACCTCGGGACCGGGTTCAACACATCGAGTGTTTGGACACCGAACTCGGACCATCCAGGCATCACAGGTCGGGTGGGGGTGCTAACGGTTTCAGTACCCAACTCCTTCTGTTCGGGACCGGCACCCCGGAGCTCACGTGACTGCTGGATCATCAAGACGGTCTTTTTTGTTTTTTTTCGAGACGGCTGGGTGCTCTGGTCGTGAACGGCTGGTCGTCAGGCCTCCTATGGCTGGTCGTCAGACCTCCAAAAAAGATCTTACAAATGGGACATCGGCCGTGTGGGTTTGCTGATCTGACCGAGATGAATACACCGTTTAATTAAGCATGGCCGCGTGGAATGCAACGCAGGACATTGGATGTCACCTGGACACTCTGCCTGGACACTCCGTAAAGAAATTGGAATTTGGTTGCTGTGCTGCTTTCCCACCAGCGATGGTCTACGTGTCTCTTCTGCTTCCCGCACACCTGCGCATGGCAGGTGGTGCACGCAGGAGCTCGCACCAGAAACGCCACCTAGTGTGCTCTCGAAAGGGCTGGCGGATTTCCTGCAGGACAACCAGGCTGATAGAGAGCTGCTGAGTGGAGGTGTTGATGGGTGAGCAGCTGTAGGCTTAGTTTGCTGGGTCGTTCTATGTTTGTGCATTGTTGGGCTGGATAAAGTTTATTCATTTGGATTGCCACGCAAGAGAACTTGAAGGGATACTAGAAAGTTGGTGCAGAAGCAGAACTGATATTGATCTTAGGGATAGTCTGACTGAGTGGGAATGTAGGATAGGAATGAGGGGAATTTTCCAGGCTCCTGGAAATTATACCCCTAGAAGTCGACCTTTAATAGCCTTTACCGAACATCCATGGTTTTGCTAAGGATTATACACCGCAAAGCTACATCAACCATAATAGGTCTTGGACTTCTGGACTTCTATAGGGTATCTAATACATTGCAAGGCTTGTTTGGTTGAAGCAAGGATTCTCAATGTTGTGGCTCCTGGCAGGCAGTCCATGACGGGATCGGATTTATTCGGGATGCCTGATAAAGCATGTTGCGACAACCAAGTTGATGTGTTGACAACTGATCCACGAGACAGAAAACAGTTGCTTCCGCAACAATGTCGATCTATGCAGTATATAATATCATGATATCATGATAATATAATATTTATTCAATTAATGCTTGATAGTCACTGATTATGCAACAATGTCCATTTATGTTTGATAGGTTGATAGTATGGAGTCGGCCAGCAAGCCTCAAAGATCCTCAAAAAGACCTGAGAGTATGAGTATGAGCTAAGAAAAACACAAGATCCCTACATGAGGTTGATACCTAGTAAAACAAAAACAATTGTCACTTCGTTGTCCGTTTCGTAAACGGGGAGCCGAAAGCGCTGTCGCCCTGCAAGCCAGAGGCTGAGCCTACGAAGTTCTTGTACTCCAGAAATGCTGGACGGAACGAAAACAGAAGAGCATGCCCCACCAGCAGAGGTTGAAGAACCCGAACTAGACTATCCTAGTTCGGTACCCCTGGTTACGGGTTTTAGTTCAGATCACTTAACCTTTGTTGGCATCTCATTGCCAAGACTGTTGTAGTTTTGCAGCTGGACCTCGACTCGGTCGACCGATTTTCTGCGTTTGCACGTCAGTCACAGAATCCCACCAACAAATTCTGGAAATTGAGAAGGATGAGAAGGCAGTTGGAGCTTGGGGGTGTCCCATCACCTGTAACAGTCGGTAAACAATTACCTGTACTAACCATCATCCACTTTTTCCAGGGAATGGGATATAGGCCAGTACGAACCCTCCAAATCCTCGGCAGTCAGGGGAGGCTGTCTCTCCTTTGCCCCGCCAAATCAGTCAGGCGCAGGCCATTGATGCAGGCGCGACGGTCACGAGAGATTGAGAGGGCGAGAAGTACACAGAGTCGTCCGGGGTCACCTTCGGTCGACATGATTCAACCGTTCCAAGGTCCTTCTGATTGACAACACCACACGAAGATACACGAAGAAAGCAACCCAAAACGTCCTCATCTCATTCCATCGCAATCTTGGCGAGTCGTGTTTGGATCAGCGATGATCTTTGGGGGTTTAGCAGGCTTTTATGATAGCGATCCTCAGCAACAGGCTGATTGTCACGGCCGACACACTGTGGTAGCATGGGTCGTCATCAACGGCTGACTGTCACGGAATAATGGAGGGCCAAACTCTTCCAACATCCATGGAGCGGTGCGGTAGCCGACTGTTCCAACACCTCAAAACCTCCAAAGCATGCAGTTCATGTCGCCCAAAAGGAGGTCCTTCTTGGAAGGAGGGAAAAGAGCTCGCAAACCCGACTTGGTAGACTATTTTGATGAATTTTCAGATCCAAGGTGTTTAACAAAAGACCCGAAAACCAACCCTGTAGGCCATTTACTGGGCCCTACCCCACATCCACAAACGACGTGACATGGAAAAAACTGCAGGCATCATGTCCAGTTCGCAGCTCATTGACCTGGACAAGTACAAGTACTTCAATCAACACGATCGCCGCACGAATGTGTCACCTGGTTTGAAAATACAGGAAGTGTGCGAACGGACGACGTGGCAATTTTTCTTCTTGTGAGGCAGTGGATGTGAGGCAGTGGACGGGATAGTGGAGGAAGAGATAAAGGTGTTGGATCTTTATTTCACAAAGGATAGAATACCACATGTACCCAAGGTTTTGTTCTGCTTAGGTGTGCTTTGGAGGCTCGAAAGTTCCTACACTCAGTAGAACATCCCGAAGAAAAACAAGCTGCGGCTTCCTAGAGCTCAACATCCAATGCCATTACAGCATGTTACAGCTAGCATCAGCTATAGCTATCCCAACCAACATGTTACCCATGTTCCGTGAGTGGAAGGTCGTTTTTTCACCTGAAATTTCACCACAACCCACCTTCAAAGCCTTCAACTAACCATCCCCTATCGCCCAAGACGTTTAGACGTGGAGGTCCTTGGTCTACTTGGAGTTCCCCACTGCTCAGCACCTCTGGGAATCCCTCCAAGAGCTGCTGAAGCGCGCACAGCGGCTTTTCCTCTGGCAGGTGGGTTTTTGCGGCGGAATGGTGCTCTGTACCCTTCGGCGCCCGCGCGGAAAGTGTGCCACCGGAGCGAAGTATAATAGGATCCACCGTTTCGTATAGCCTCTGCATGGAGGCCAGTTCTGTTTTTGCCCCAACCAATGGGCGAACATTCATATTTCTTGCCGGAGTCTGGGATCCCCACCTGGAAGAAGCTTCTGTGCAGGTGCGGAATCGCTTTCGGATTCCCACGGCCCTGGGGGAGTATTACATGGCGCTGAAGTTTCAGCTGCAGCTGAAGGACTGAGAACCGAGATCGTGCCTGGTGTGGAAGCGATGTGTTGCCAAACCCGGCCATGGCTGGGTCGTCGTTTTGCATGTTCAGTTCACAGGTGTTCTTGCGACGAGAATGTCTACGATGTCGTGGACCCACAAGCATTGGCCGATGGACACCCCTTAACCTTCAAAGGGGCCATTCAAGAGACACTTCTTGAGAGGCATGCATGTACACGCACAAAAAAGAGCAGACGTTGCAAGGTAGCCACTAGCCCTAGGGCTCCTGGCCTACCTCCGTTTCGAACATGGTGTGGGGTGAGGTGCCAGGGGGTCTAAGCATCGAGGATATGGTTGGAGCCCTGGGTTAGTGACACCAAAAGACCCTCTTCAGGTCCAGGACGGTCCAGGTGGCTCCGTTTTGAGCCTTTGGGGACCCGGCAGAGTGAACGGGGCGTGGCGCCTGCAAGGAGTCTGCAAAAGACATCCAAACACCCACCAAAGCAAGTTCTTCGAAACAGTCTAAGAATGTCTAAGAACAATTGCAAACCACCAAACCAAGCTGGTTGAAATATCTTGCCCACGGAACTGGATTTTTTGCATTTGGCATCATTACGAAAAGGGAACAACCGTGGATAAATATGTCCCCCTGCCATCACAGTGTAAATCGGGTGATGGATTTGTTCAAGTTCTCAGGGAGGCCTGGCTTTGTTCCCTGGATTCCATCCTGTTCTAATCAAACATGAAGACATCCGACGTTTTGACCCCCGACGGATTCGTTCGACGGAGTCCCTGCGCTCCACCTCGTGGGGTCCGTCCGGTCCCGACGCGGTCCGACCATCCCAAGCTGCGAGGACAGCTCGTTGCACTACGCAGAGCTGCGATTGTGTTTGTCCGGGAAGTCCAAGAAGCTGAATACGATCCAAATGTTGCCCAGCCGAAGACGTCGGAGCTGATAAGCTAGGATTCTGAGGATTAGAAAGAAACCGACGCTGGGAGCGGTGGACTTTGGACTTTGGTTGCTTTGGCTTTGAAGATGTTTGAAGCCTTGTCATAAGACTTGCCCAACCTGCCAACCTGCGCCGGTTCGTCTCAAACGCCGAACCGGGTGCGCTGGGTCCACGACCCGAGGTTCCGAGAGACCATGAAGAAGGCGGAAGAGATCCTTCATCAGATCTTTGGCGAACAGGTTTGGCTTTTTTTTTTTGCGACGTCCAACCATTTCCAGGGCGCCCCAGGTCTCATGGGTGAGCGGGGGGGAGCTCGGAGTCCTGGTTCACAAGCTGGAACGGAGCTGGAACGGAGGAAAGTTCGGAAGGTCACATGCATTGGGTACTCAAAACATCTCAAAACACTGTAAAGACCATTCCAACAGGGTACCTATATGGAATAGCCTATAGGGTTCTTCAACCTCTGTTGGTTCCTTTGGAAGCGCAGGTTTGTTAAGTGTGTCTTTTTTCCAGTTTCTCGAGTGGTCCACCTAGTTTGTGCAGTGGATGCAGCTAGTGACCTAGTGGATCACAGGGAGTTGGGTTTGATCTCAGTTTTGGGGACAGGGTCAGAACCAGAACAGAAGCCTTGGCCTGGGTGAATGAACTTGAGTGACTTTCCTGGATATAAAGGGCTTACGCCCAACAGCGGGCCAGCAGGCCAACAGTGGGAGCAGCATGACCCAGTGTTCCGACTGCGTTTGGGTTGGTGTTGCGATTGGCATCAGTGTGGTTGTGGTTGTGGTGGCAGTGGGGTTGTTGTAATGGTGGCGGTGGCGATGGTGGCGGCGGTGGCGGCGGTGGCGGTGGTGCCTTGGGCCAACTTGGTGCCATGCAACGGGGAGGAAGTCATTTTGTGGCCAGAGAAGTTTCTCTCCCATGTCCTCTGGACTCTGGTCACTTTTATTTGGCCACAGGTGATGGACATTTGCGGGCAACGAGACTGTTTCTTTCCATCAAGAGGCCAGCAAACGTATAAAGAGAGTGTGTTATTTGAATATGGGCCAGCTCTCAGCCCATGGTTTTGTCAAAAACAGAACCACTCCTCCTCCTCCTCCTCCTCCTTGGGGTTCCTTTAAGCACCCCACACACGACTCCGGGTCGGCCCCCGGTCATTCGGGTCCCCGCCACTCAGGAGCTGCGACGTGCCACTGATGGAGACTGCCCTGGTGGCGCAGTACCTCACATCGATGCTCAGGAGCCGGTCCATTAGGCGAGCAAAACGCGGTTGACCCACGAGCGGTAACGGTCACGAAGTTGTGGGTGGCACCAAGTGCGGTGCCGCAGCGCGGTGCCGCTCCATGAGAGGCAACTTCGAGTCGTTGTTCAGTGACCCGAAGCCAAAAGGGTTACAGTTATATATATGCCAATAATATATATATATATATATAATAGAAACGTTGCAGATTTTGAAAGTGAAGAGTCTTCAGGGAACACAGGGTTCGTCAGACCAGCTCTGGACTCATGTTGTGTTTCATGCTGTGAGCATTTGTTCATTTGGCGGCTTTGTGCACTACCCCCTGGAGTCTTCCTTGGTGGCCGCGGGATGTCATCGTGACATGGCGAAAGGTGCAACGAAGAGATGCTGCTATGATTGGGCCTTGACTTCCCTTCAAAGGAACAAGTTGCAGCATGCCCTATGTGGAAACGGGGCAGGTGGGTCGCGCACCACTGCGCGAAAGAGAAAAGAGAGCGAAGTGCGAGCAGATCCAGTTGCGGGTTTTGATTTGTCTCAGCTTGCTCCACTGCTCATGCTTTTGCAGCAGGTTTTAGCTTTGGTTAACAGCGGCAGTTTTGATTTGCAAGACGTGTTGCAAAAGTTAGGTGCTGTGATGAACGGTTCTTCCAAGAAGGGAGGGACTAACACACCGACCAAAAAGAGGCGCAAGAAAAGAAAGTCCAAGCGTGTGCTTGCTCCGCCCTCCCATGCTGTGCAGCCATTTTCTGAAAGGACTTTTGCCGATTCGAAACAGCAGCTTGACAAAGCTGCGCCATCTAAGCCAGACAAAGGGTCGACCGACCCACATCCTGCGGGTCGCACATTTGCGCAAGTTGCAGGAGCTGCAGGTGAGAAGCAGGTTTTCCAACCGGTATGGCAACTGAGGCCTTCAGATTGGGACGCCAGCATTTTGTCCATTGATGAAATCACGCATAGGATTTGTGAAAAGAGCCCTGCCAAACTTCAGGCAGTGTCCTTTGTGCAGAATGATAGCGAACTGGACGAACTTCGTACTCTGCTATCTGGATTTGAGGATGCCAGTCATGAACTTGGTATCACCGCAATCATGTTGGCAACAAAGGGTGACACACCAAAGCAAGATGGTGAAATCATCCAGGTGCCAGGCAAGAGGCAAGGCAAAGTGACACCGAGAATGGCACACGTCGTGAAGCTTGGTTCCAATTGCCCGTCCTTGAAGAGAACAATTCGACGCATCGAATCTACCCCGGAGATGGTCAAAACAGTCGTGCTTCGACTCGCCACTGAGGCACGCTACCACGATGAAAGCAAGTGGAAGGCCATCCTTGAGCACTCATCACATGCTGCGCACAAGTGGTTGCATTCCAACTTGCCTGCTGTAATGCAGCGCAAAGTCAGAGACACTTGGGGATGGCAATTGGAATCCTCAAAGGGTGGTGGAAAAGCGTTGGTCACTGCTATGGTTCGTGTGGAGCACACAGCGGTCAACTCCATGCTTTCCCTCTCAGGTAAAGAGTCTTGGTTTATCGAGCCTTTGCGCTGGGATCAGCCTGATGTGCCTGCTTGTGAAGTCAAGTGGGTTAAAAGGAACCCCGAAGAGCCGGGACCTCAGTATGCAAACCGAGTACATGCAGAGGCTGGGAACCTTGGAGTTGCCCGAGGTTGGAAAAGCCTCGGTGTTCGTGTGCCTCGGGGATCTGAGACAAGAAGCAAGACCCGTACCAAAACATGGAGGGTCACTGGGGTTCCAAGTGATTGGAGCCACGAGCCAGTCTTCGCAGAACTTCAGGCAGCTGGCCTGTCCAACTTGCAGCTGACGAGTCGCAAGTCTTATGGCAGAAAAGCAACGCTTTTTCTAACAGCCTCCTGTGAGAATGATGTTGATTTTGTTGAAATTCGTTTCGAAGGAAGCCCCATGATTGCAACAGCTTTCAACCCTGCCAAGCATCACCGGAGTGAGCGCAAGCCCCTGAAGTCTGGTAGTGGCCTGTCTTTTGCTCCTGATGCCTTCCCGTCCGAGACAGATACCCATGGCAAATCGGTGAGAACTTCCTTCTATGTTGCTTCACCGGTGAAGAAGAAGCAAAAAGTTGAAGAGGTTGCTGAAACCCAGCTAGATGCAAGCCAACCGGATTCATCTATGGATACCAGAGAACCTGCAGAAGCGACTTCACCCCGTGAGGGCGCTGCAGGAAAGCGAGCAGCCGGTTCGCCCAACAAGGGCGATGATTGTGCGCCCAGGTCCAAAGTTCTTAAGCGACCAGTGCCGAGTGGTATGAGTCGTGTGAAGAATGCTGGGCAAGGGAATTGTCTGTTTGAAGCCATCGGTCAGGCTTTGAGTCCGAACAAGCCGAAGCATGGCCGAACTGTGCGTGCTGCAATTGTGACCCATTTGCGACGTCACTCAGACCGCTACCAGCCTTGGTGGGACGCTTTGGGGCCTGACGGCAAGTCTTGTGACAGTTTTGACGCCTACCTCAAGCTCCTCAATAAGCCTGGCGCTTGGGCGGGCTGTTTGGAGATCGCCGCCGCCGCGGCGCACTATGACAAAGCCATTTACGTTTTTGGTCCTGTCTTGCAGTCCCATGTTGAGGGATACAATACGTCTTGTGCCAATGGTTATCTCTCTTTGTGGTATGAGGATAACCATTACGAGTGGCTCAAAGGTCCGGTTCCCGATGATGTCCGCAAAAAATGTTTGCAATGGTCCTTTGCAAGGCGGGCGGGGAGGCGCGACCTCCAGCAAAGTTTCGACTTCTGCATCTGGGCGCACGAGGTCCTCTGCGTTGCCGCCCCCTCCAAGTTTTGGCGGGCGTACCAGAAAGTCTGCCTTGCCTGACCTCCCGGTGCCCTCTGTTCTCAGTGCTCAGCGGAACACCCAGGTGTCAGCAAAGTCTGTGAGCAGCAGCCGTTGTCTTGATGAGGTTGATCTTGCTGATCGTGATGACATGCCGGATCCTCCACCAGTTACGTCCGCCAGGGACAAGAATCAGCCGCAAGATTGGGTTTGCCCTGAATGTGGATTCAGAACTGGTCTCCATAAGAATTGGAGCAAAATCCGTAGGAACCATGTGGTGACTTGGCATGCTGAGAAGAAGAATTTCTACAACCGACACAGAGTCGCTGACCTGATCCCATGGGATCCCGACCTTTGCTCTTGGAAATGCCCTCTGTGCGCTTCGGGTGTCCCAAAGACTGTCAGCGATGTTGATATGCATTACAGAATGCGTTTGGCTCACCGTGATAGATGCCACCCCAGGGCCAAACGCCAGCGTTTCGTGCGTGCCCGAGGCAGCAGTGCCAATGCACGAAAGGCGACCATCGCCAAGACTGCTGCAGGTCTGGCAAGAAGAATGGTTGATTTGAAGGCCGGTGAGCAGGGAGAGCACGATTGCGAGATCCTCCAGCTCCCACATGTCGGCAAAGGCAAAGCTGTGCGTCGATTCCACAACAAGCTTTTTTGTAAGAAGTGTAAGGCCTTGGCAAGCTCCGTCAAGAAGCTTTCAAGCGTGAGATGCGATGCCTCCCTCAAAGGAGGTCCGAAGCGAAAGCAGCTGATTGCTAGTTTGCAAAAGTTTGCTGATAAGCTCAGTGTAGGTTCGCAGGAGCACACCGCAACCTTGCAGGTGGTTTCGAAGATTTCTCCTCCTGCCAATGTGGATGAGCTGGTCCCAAGAGCCCACAATGTGGTCCAGGTCCAGACGCCAGGCAAACGCAAGCAGGCCGCTTTGTTCTGCACTCGCTGCCGTCGCCTGTCTGCCACAAAGAAGCATTTGAATAAGTTCAACTGCAGTTCAGCAGCGGTTTGGTCCCCTGCGCGTGAGCGGGTCTTGCGACAGGTCGATGAAAACGCAAAGGGAGCCAAAGGCAAACGCTTGAAAGCGTTAAGTGAGCTGACTGATTTGCTCACTGGGAAGGCGACTAGCAGCTCAACCCCATGACTGTACTTGAAGCTGCCAATGGGGGACAACGATGTCCCAAGCATGATGGTGCCTTGCGAATCGCCACACTCAATGTGCGTTCTCTCAAGGGCAAAATGCCCGAAGTGTTGCAACTGGCTGACAGCTTGTCAGTCGATATTTTGTGTCTGCAGGAAGTCAGACTTTCTGAAGATAACTTGCTGGCCGCGTCTCACGCAGCCAAGCGCAGTGGTTGGCAATTTTTCGCTAGCCCTTGTGCTATGAACAATGCGGGAGCACCTACTGCCGGCGTTGCCATACTTAGCAAATGGCCTGTTGACAAATATGTGTTACCTGACCCCTCCTGTGTTCTCCGGGCACAACAAGGCAGGTGGCAAATCATGAGAGTGCACAGGCCTGGTTCACGGCCTTTTTTGTGCGTCAACCTTTATTTGCATGCTTCGGATAAGATGCAAGCCCGGAACTTAGGTAAGAGTCTCTTTGAGGCGATCGCTGTCAGCGGTGAAGATTGCATCTTCATAGGTGACTGGAACTGCACCGCTGAAGAAGAGCCTGTGTGTTCAGTTCTTCGCAGTGGGTGTTTGCATATGGCCGATGATGTGGCTGGCATTGAAACCCTAGCCATTCCGACTCACGACAAAGGTCGGCATATTGACTTTGCTTTACACTCTATAGGTCTTGTCCCTTGCGCCAGAAGCCAGTCCGCAGGGATTGCTGACCACTGCGCAGTCATGTATGATTTTGCGGTTGCCGGTTTGGAGCCTTGTTTCAAAGTCCCTCCTCCTAAGACCTTAAAGGCAAAAGAACCCGTCGAGCAAGAGCGGTAGGATGCTTCTTTTCCTCTTGAACGGTTTGATTTGTTGTTAGCGCAGCAGGATGTTCAGCGTGCTTGGAATTTGTTAAGTGACCATGCCGAGTCTCTTTTGCAACCCCATTCGGTAGGTCGTTCACGCACGACAGTTCCTGGTCCCACATGTGTTGCCACAGCGCCCACTAAGGTCGAAAGACTTCAGACTGTGTTGGAGCGTCGCCTCCGTCGCACCCTGCGACGTCTGGCAGAGCTGCAAAAGACTGATGCTGATTGGAGCTTGGCAC